ACGATAAATAAGGAACGAAGCCCCTTTGTATCCCAAGGAATAACGCATAAAAAAACGATGCATAATAGATAGCACATAAGGAACTGTACATAACGCATGCAAAATCTAAGCAACGACCGAGCCCCTCTGGAAAAGCAAGCGTTCCTTATTCAAGCCGCTCACTGTACTGCTGTGCTCTCCCCCCCACTTCCCATATTTTCTTATATTTTTGGGGGGAATCGAGAATGAATTGTGTCTGTGTGTTTTCCCCTCCTGACAACTCCGCTCCGCGCCTCCGTGGGGCCCTCGGCCCTCGGCGAAGGGGCTCGCGCTCTGGATCCGCGCTCTCGTGCCCCCGTGCCTCGACGGCATCGGCCTGCTGCAGCCTCTCGGCCTGGACCTTCTGCCTCTACCGCTGCAAGTAGTATCCTCCTCCTCCTCCTCCTCCTCTTCCTACTCCTCCTCCTCCTCCTCCTCCTCTTCCTCCTCCTCCTCCTCCTCCTCCTCCTCCTCTCCTCCTCCTCCTCTCCTCCTCCTCCTCCTCCTCCTCCTCCTCCTCCTCCTCCTACGCCGATCGCCGAGCTGCTGCCGTGCTCTCCGCTCGTGTGCTCCTCCGACTGCCGCCCGGTGGCGGGCAGCGCCTCCCGTCGGCCCGCAGCAGCCGCGGGCCGCCCCGCGCCCGCGGCGCGGCCTGCGCCGGCCCGGCCGCCGCCGCGCGCGGCCCGCCGCCGCGCGCGGCCCGCGCCTCGGAGCCGCGGCCGCCGACGCGGAGGGCTCGACTAAAACGACACGAAGATCGGGACCAAAATCGGATCGGGAGAACTCGAAATCTCTGAGAATCGGCGGGTTTGGAGGATGTATTGGGCGCCGCGGCCGCTCCAGAGCGTTCCGGAACGCTCTGAGAGCGCTCCGGAACGCTCTGGAGCGATTTGTCCCGATCCTAGCCCTGTTTTATCGACGGTCGCCACGAACGAAGTGGGGACGGAAGGTGATGAGCCGGTTCTCCACCACCACCACCACCAGAAGTTGGAGGGGGAAAGGAGGTGGAGGAGGAGGAGGAGGAGGAGGAGGAGGAGGAGGAGGAGGAGGAGGAGGAGGGGGAGGAGGAGCAGGACCCCCCCCCCCTCCAACCCATGGTGGTGGTGGTGGAAACACACGCCCATCAGAAGGAACGAATGGGCACGGAGGCCGGCAGGACTCGATGTCGTGGCCGCCGCAAGCGGCGTCCCTCTGAGGCCAGGAGGCCGCCTGGCCTGTACACGCCGGCCGCCGTCGGTTTTGGACAGCACTCGTTGTCTGGCATTGTACCGCAATCTCGCGTCGTGTCGACCCCGGCGTTGATTCCCGACGCCGCGGGGATCGTTCAAACTTGAACGATCGTCAACGCCCATTTAATGGGGACTCCACTGACGGGCATTTTGGCCAGTGACCCGGCGAACCCAGCCTTTCCCGATGTGGGCAACGCTGCAATGCCAGAAAGACGCCCTAAAATGGCAACTTTCGGCAACTTTCCAAAGTACCCGTTAGTGAGTACCCGTTACGTTGCCCCTAAAATAGACCGTTCCGTAAACGCCCCATCGTTCAACGACGGGCCGATTCTGGGCCACGGGCGGCGTTCCACCTTGAACGCACGCTGTGACGTCGCCGCCGGTCGGCACGACCCGAACCTGCCGCACCACTCCCAAAGACGGGGCCCCAAATCTCTGACGGTACTCCAGATTTCGTAATAAAAGGGAGGGGGTCTGGACCCTCCAAGACAAGCCACTTCAGACCTCCCCCGTGGGAGAACCCTCCAAAACATCGTCCCCAGACCCCCCCAGGCCCTCCAAGATAGCCTGGAAGAGACCCCCCCCCGAAATGAGACCCCCCTCCCTTTCTTACGAGATCTGGAGTATGGTGTTCTCGATCCCGGCGAGGCGCCTCGGTGTCGGCCTCCAGGGGCCCGCTCTCCGGCCCGCGGCGGCTTGACAAACGGATCCGGGACGAAACATCCCACCGGCCCTTCGGGGCGGAGGCGGTTCAGGGCGTTCTCTCTCCCACCTTTCGGGTCGGGCGAAAGGGGGGGATAGCAAAGGGGGGGTTTGAGAATCAGCTCACGTAGCTGGCTTTCCCGGCGCCTCCCGGCGCCGGAGGCGGCCATGTATCGAGGAATGGCCCACTCGGTGAGGCCGAAACCAGCTGCATGCAGCAGATTTCGTAACCCCCCCTTTCCCAATCCCCCCCTTTCGCCCGGCCCGAACCTGCCCCCTTCCCCCGTCGGGGAGGGCCTCCCCCTGGGTCTGGAGGCGCGGGGCGGCGAGGCGCTGGAGCGTCCGAGATGGCGCAAGGTGGCTCCAAGAGGGCCCTGGAAGACCCACGATGACCTCCGAGAGGGCAAGACGTGTTCCAAACTGCTCCAAGAGCCCCCAAGACCGCTCCAAGACGGCCTGGGGTGGCCACGGAGCTTCCCAAGGACGCCCCCGACAGGCCAACACCCGTCAAGAATCCGATTGTTTACCCTCTGGCCTTTTCTTTCCTATGGGCTCTTGAGGCCTCAAGATGGCTCCAAGAGGGCCAAAGAAAGCTCTAAGAGGGACCCAAGAGCGCTCCAAGACGGCCCCTAGACCCAAGAGCGCCCAAAGAAGGCCCCAAGAAACAACTTGGGGCTCAAGACAGGCAGCGCTAATGAGGCCTCTTTGATCGATGTCCTCCAGGTAGGTAGGCCACAAGCCCCAAGAGAGCCCCAGGAGACCCTCAAGGTGGCCCCAAGATGGACCCAAGAGAACCCAGATAGCCCCAAATGGCTTCCAACTTTGATCCGCGTCCTACAAGATAACTCCAAGAGGCCCCCAAAAGATGGCCCCCAGAGGCCTCCTCGGGGCTTCCATGAGAACTCCAAGGGACTCCCGAAATAGCAACGAGATGGCTCCAAGAAGGTTCTAGATAGCCTAAGATTGCATCCAACATAGCGGAGGGAGGGAGGGAGGGAGGGAGAGAGAGAGAGAGAGACAAAGAGACAAACAGAGAGAGAGAGAGAGTATAATGACGGAACCGACAAGACAATAAGAGAGAGAGAGAGAGGGAGAGAGAAACCAAACATCTTCGGGAAGAGAACATACAGCGGCGGCGGTGGCGGCGGCGGCGGGGCGGCAGCGTTGGCCGTCGTCGGTCGCCGTCGGTCGCCGTCGGCCGTGGCGGCGTTGCCAACGTCTGCGGCGGCGGCGCCGGCGCCTGGAGCCTCGCCGCCGTGGCTGGCGCAGCCGCCGTGGCGGCGAGCGCCGCGGCAAGCGCCGCGGCCGCCGTGGGGCGGGCCTGCGTCGGCCAGTCGGTCGGCCGTCGCCAGTCGTCGTCGTCGTCGTCGTCGTCGTCGTCGTCGTCGTCGTCGTCGTCGTCGTCGTCGTCGTCGTCGTCGTCGTCGTCGTCGTCGTCGTCGTCGGTCGGTCGGTCGGCCCAGGCGCCGGTCGTCGGCGGTCGTGCGGTTGTCGGTCGGCCAGTCGTCGGTCGTCGGTCGACTCGGCCTGCTCGGTCGGTCGGTCGGCCGTTCGGCCGTCGGTCGGCGTCTGTCGGTCGTCGGTCGGTCGGGCCTTCGTCGGTTCGTCGGTCCGTCGGTCGGGGGGTCGGTCGGTCGTAGCTGCTCTGGGAGGGTTTCACCCGAGAGCGGTGCCTGCGTTTTGGGTGCACCGCAGACGGGGCCAGGAAAGGGGGCGGTCATCGCAGCATGGCCCAGAACATGTGCGCGGACGAGGGGGGGCCAAATAATGTTCTGAAAGAAAAATGGCGGCGACGACGACGACGGATACAACGAAAAATAATAATAACAAGCTAAGACAAAAACATACACATAAAACTAACAATAGGAATGGGCCATGAAATGACTCCCGATTCGTGCCCTTGTCCAAAATATCTACACACCCGTTGTCTTGTAACTACTGCCCCCCTAAGGAGGCCCCAAACGCATGCCCCCTCCTGTGCTGGCCTGGAGGGCGTGTGCGCCCCTCTTCTGGGCCCCGACCGGGGCCGGGGAATCAACGCGGAGCTCCCGGCGCCCGACGCTCGGGGGTTCGAGAGACTCGGGGCCTCGAGAGATCGTCGTCGGTCGCTCGTCGTCCCTCGGTCGGTCGCTGTTCGCTCGTCGGTCGTTCGTCGTGCGTCGCTCGCTCGTCGCTCGTCGGTCGTAGGTCGTTCGAATTCGTGCGCTCGTCGTTCGTCGGTTGTTCGTCGCTCGTCGGTCGTGCGTCGGCGGCCGTCGTCGGCCGTTCGAAGCAAGTCGTCGGTCGAGCCGGGCTCTCCCAGAAACCAACCGGACAACGTCGGAAGTCCCAAGGGCCCGGCTACCTGAGGACCCCTCTGCTGCATGGTGAGTCGAGGAAAAGGAAGAGGAGGCGGAGGTCGAGAGACAGAACAAAACATGATATCGACCGGCGAGGAGGAGGAAGGAGAAGGAGGGGGAGGAGGAAGAGGAGGAGCAGGAGGAGGAGGCTTGGCTCGGCTCGGCTCGGCTCGGCTTGGCCCTACAGGCGCGTGCAAAAAAACTTCCTCCTCCGAATCGGGCCAGGGAGGCCCTCTGGATCGCGCCGCGACCCATCTCGAGCACACCGGGTCGGTCCCCGACCGTCAAACAAACATCCTTCAGCACTTCGCCCCGCCCGCCCACCTCCCCCCGCTACCACGTCGAACGGTGCAGGCCGGCCGCGCTGGAGGGGGCGGAGGCGGCCTCGGCCCGCTCGCGCAGGCCCGCTCTCACCGCTGGCAACACTCCGCGGGGGCGGCTGAATCAGAAATCTTCCGCCCCCGCTCTGCAACGGGGGAACTCTCCTTCGCGAATGCGCCCGAGCTGGTCCCGGCGCCCTTCCCACCGCGGCCCGGACGCGCAGAGGACACAGTCGGAGTCAATTCCCCATCGGAACTCGCTGCGCCGCGCCGACAGCAAAACAAACTCGACCTTGGATTCGCGCCTTCGACGTCCGACTCAAGAGGTGCTGCTGCCAGCGGGAACTGAGTCTTGAGCACTCCCCCAGCCCAGGCCCCACTCCCAAGCCCAGCTACTCCACCCCGGTCCCCCCAAAATCCTCGGGCGGCCCGTGGTCGGGACTCGCCGGGCTGCCCGCGGGCGGCGCCCAGGGCGGGGAGGCCTGGCGCTTCGCCAGGTAGCGCTCCACGAAGCACGCATGATCCTGGCCGTCGGCTTGGACGCGCGCCTCTGCGGCCCGCGCCGCCGCCTCGCGCGCGATTCCAGGCCTCGCCAAACCCAGTAAAAGGAATGATCGACGCCGCGGGCTGTCGCACCTTTCCGGACAAACTCAGCCGCAAGACTGTTTGCTGCAAGCGGTGCGCCCGGCACCTTTGTCCGCGCGCGCAATGGGCCTTAGCCGTGCACATGCGGACGCCCACCCAATGAAGCGCAGCCCAAAACTGGCGCCGAAGATGCGCGCGAGGATTCCCGCGGCCCGCCCCACCACCCACCGAACGCCACAGAGTGCCGACAGTGCCAGCACAGCCCGCGTAGACATCAACGGTAGCGTAGCTGCCTGAGTGACCACATTGAAGGCAGAATCCTCGGCGTCTCTCGCTGTTTGCCGAAGTGCAACAGACATTGGGGCGGGCTCGTAGGCCGCTGCCTCCAACCGACAGAACCTATCGACTTGCACGCCAGCTCAGCCCGCTCGGCCCAGGCGGAGGCACTCAGCCCGCAGGGTTCGAGCCGTCCGTTAAAAGAACGCCCGTCAGAAAGCCAAGCTCAGGTCGGTTGTGCCAGGAGGTGGTCTGCTCGAGCCCCTCCGGGACCTCCAGCAGCTCCACGGGGTTCGGGAACAGGCCCCTCGCGACCCCCCCCCCCCCCGCCTTGGAGCCCCACTTCTTAACCCTGGCAGCGCGACCACGCAGGAGGCCTGAGACGCGCCCCCGTTGGAGACGTTGAAGAGCTGGGCGCGCGTACGCCCCGTGCCAAAAAGGAAACCGCCCGGGCCCCAGCGCCCAGACTCCGCCTGCCCACGCTTGAACAGGCGACTTTGCGGCCAATGGCTTCCAGAGATTAATGGCCTGATGTGGCCTCTGGCGTCTCTTAATCCAGCGCCCCCCACCCGAAACTCGATGACGAAGCGGCCCCAGGGCCTTCCAGGGCAACGGCTTGCACCGCGGCGCGGGGGGGGGGGGCCCTTGATGCGGGGGCTTGCCCGCCCGATGCTCGGAGAGCCCCCCCCCCTGCAAAAGGCTTAGACCAGGGCAGGGGCAACTTGTTTCACGCCCAGCCTGGCCCCCTGGTCGGTGGCGAGGGCCACGCGCGAGTCGAGCTTCCACCCGGCCCTCTGGAGACTCAGAGCAGCAACTTCCACGGGCGCCGCTGCCGCCGCCCACGGAGCACTCGACCTCTGAGCCCGTGATGTCTCGCCCTCCACGCACGCCTTCAGGCCGCCGGGCCCGGGGGCGAACTCCCAGACCGCCTACGCCCACTGGAACGCGACCTGGCCTACGTTCAGGATAAGCGGGTCGGTCCCGGGGCCTGCCTTGTCGCTGTGCAACCTCACTCCACGGTAATCAAGCGGAAGGTCCCCTTTGGCCCGATCAAGCGCAACTGCCATCGCCTCCGCCGCGGGTTGAACACTGCCCGGGCGAATGGCAACGATGTCTTCGCAGACGTACATATGTTGCACCTGATAAAGGTTTGGGCGCGGTTGGCGGTTGCGCAGATCAGACCCCTTGAAAATCTCAGGTATCGAGCATGCCGAGGAAAGCAGCGACATGCTCATCACAACGAGTCGAGGTCATCAGAGGACGAGGCGCGCGCCGAAGCGCAGAGAGTCCCGATTGAGCACGTGAGCAAGAGGAGGGCGAGCAGGAAGAGGAGGCTCATTCATGATGGTTCTCTGTGCGTGTGCGGAGGCGCCAGGGGCTGTCTGGCGGCCGGTTGACATGCTTCGCGCGCGCACTGGATCACGGGCCGATCTCCAGATGGAAGAGATTCGTTGGATGGCTTCGAACGATGACTAAGAACTGACATGTTGCGATTGGAAGATCAGATTGCAATTCCATGTTGCCCGAAGTTCACCACGCGAGTTCATGGCTGCGGCAGATCGAGCGCGGAAACAAGTGGCGCGCAACTGAGTTGGGTCGCCCACGGACGGCGGCGCGGGAGCTCAGCCTCACAGAGATGCGCAGCGAATCGCCTGCGATGTCGACCGAGTAGTATTTTGCTATTCGCAGCGCGCGCGACACAACTTTTTAGATTGACGCGGCGCGGACATTGCGCCAACGCTGGCACGGGGATCGCAGCGCGGAAAGCGCGGCACAGCGTCTAGGAATACATCACACTCGGGTAAGCACCTGCGCAAAGTAGGCAATCCACGTACCAAGTGGCTGCTGCGCAATATCGAGATGGTGGACGCGGAGACCGCCGAGCAACTGAGAAACGGTGGCATGGCGCCGGAACGCACGCAAGCTCATCAGGGGAGTAATCACGTGAGGCTGTTTTCCATCCCACCTGCGTTGGGTACTCGTTTTGAAGGAAAAAAGCACTGCGTGCTCCGCCTCCTCCCGTCTCCCACCTCCTCCTCTCTCCTGGGGGGCTGCGGTCTGCGAGACTGTCGCCGCTTTCGCAGCGGAGTTGCGCCCTGCCCAAATTGAAGTGAGACCTCGCAATTCCCGGGGCCCTGAGATCTGCAGTACTGTCGCCGCTTCCAAAAGCTGCTGGGGGGGCCCAGCGGAGTGTCATCCTTCCCAGAAGCGAATGAGACCTCGCCATTCCTGGGGGGGCTGCGATCTGCGAAACGGTCGGCGCTTTCGAGGGCTGCTGGGGGCCCTCCGGAATGACGCCCCACCCAGATCCTGATGGAATCTCACCACCCCTGCTGCGAAACCGCCGCCACTTTCGAGAGCTGCGTTTTTGGCGGGCGCCCAGCGGCGCGACGTCCTACCCAGATCCCGATGAAACCTTGCCATCCCTGGAGGGGTGCGATCTGCGAGACTGCCGCCGCGTTCGAACGCTGCTGGGGGGTCCAGCGGAGCGACGTCGCACCCAGATTCAAATGAGACCTCGCCATCCCTGGGGGGTGCGATCTGCGAAACGGTCGCCGATTCCGAGGGCCGCCGGGCGGCCCGCAGAGCGACGCCTCGCCCGCATTCGGATGAGATCTCGCCAGCCCTGGGGGGCAGCGTTCTTTGAAACCGTCGCTGCTCTCGAGGGCTGCCGGGGGGTCCAGCGGAGCGACGTCTTCCTTGCATCCTGATGGGGCCTCGCCATCCCTGGGGGGCTGCGAGCTGCGAAAGAGTCGCCACTTTCGAAGGCTGCTGGGGGGTCAGAGGACTGGCCGCTCTTGTATTTTCCGATGAGACATCGCCACCCCTGCGGGGCTGCGATCTGCGAAACTGTCTCCACCTTCGAAGGCTGCCGGGGGGTCCTGCGGAGCGACGCCCCGCCCAAATTCTGACGAGGCTGCTGGGGGGGGGCCCAGTGGAGAAAGGCCATGCCCAGATCAAGATGGGACATCGCCACCCTCGCGGGGCTGCGAACTGCGAAACTGCCGCCGCTTTCGAGGGCTACTGAGGGGCCCCGAGGAGCGACGTCTCACTCAGATTCGGATGAGACCTCGCCATCCCCGTGGGACTGTTATCTCTGAAACCGTCGCCACTTTCAAGGGCTGCTGCGGGGTCCAACAGAGTGGCGTCTTACGCTGGCCACGAGGGGACCTCGCCATCGCTGGGGGGCTGCGAATATGGCGGGCGAGCTAGGCCTCGCTCGCATCTTGCACCAACGATAAGCAGGTTGAACATATCTTTCGGGCGCCGCGACGACGCGGCGCAGGCAGCGCGGCATCTTCAGCGCGCAACCGACAAAAGCAGCACTCTTCGGTCTTCCCACGTCACATTCGTCGTCGTTCTCTGCCCCCTGCCACCTTGCATCTGCAGCTGCCGCGCCGACAGCCCGACCCCCCGCGCGCCCTTCTACTGCCCGTCGCCCCCGCCCCCACGTTCTCCAGTGAATCCTGTCGCGCGAGCGCATCCCATGTAGCTCGCTTAACATATAACGGAGCCTGCACTGTCGTTGCCCTGGCAAGCTTGGGCCAACTCATCACGTCACTCGACGCAAAAGGGTCGGGTGCGTCACGGGGTACTTGTGGGGGCCCGTCGACCTGACTGGGGAGATGGCATTGGATGCGCGCGGCACTGGGGAGGGCGAGCGACGCCATTCAAGCCGGCGCCACCACCAACAATCAGACTCGACAGTCGCTCTTAGATGCCCCAACGTTCCCCGACAAATCTGCCACCGAGTGGGCAATTAAGTTTACGTTGCATTGAGAAATTGGCTTTTGAACTGGATCAACTGTCGAGCCGGGCCAGTCTTTGCACGAAAGGTCGAATCCACGTGCAGCTCCTGGATTCTTGCGCAGAAGGATCGGAGAACGATGGCCACGAGGGTTGGCAACCGAGGGATCAACGAATAAAGCGATCCAGCTGCTTCCGACTGGCAGAATTGCTGGAGTGATCGCGGTGGTCTGCTGGAAGTCGCGGATGCTCTCCGAGCGATCGCCCAATACCACGGCAGGTAAACTTCAAATACAGGCACAACATGGGGGCGACAGCGAGGATTCGGATCGGTCTCTTTTTCGTAATCTCCGCGGTCGCAGTAGACCACGGGGCGCCTTTCCTCTATCACCTCGAGTCCAGACGCAACTCCTGGTGGGCAACCAATCGATGCGAGCTGCAACCTCATGAGACGACGCCGCGGGGTCTTGGGGACTTCCACGTTTTGTAAAGCGCCGAGGGTTCGCGCGGATGTCGCGCTGCCAGCGTAGCCCCTCAGCTTTGAGAACACCTTGCAATGGGGAGAGTGCGGCGGCGAGCTCCCCCCTGCAAGTTAGCAAGTAGCAGCGGACCGCCGGCCCTCAAAGCGCACCGCGAGGTTCACGATAGGATCCCCTTTTGAAGCCAATTCAATGGCCCAGTAGGCTCGCGAGGGCGGCGGTACGCGGCGCGCGCCGCCCTGCTGAATTGGATGGCTCACAAAGCGGTTCGATAGTGGGCCATCGTGGCTCGCCGTTTGTCCTGATGCTTCGTTCTGCGCGTTTCTCACTGCCTGCGTTCGGGGGGCCCTCGGGGGGCAGAAGTGCCTGCGGGCGAAACAAACCTCGAGCGCCACCCCAAGGGGCCCTTCTCGGTGCATAACCGGCCGCTTGTACATGACAGTGCTTGAGATTGCGTCCCCTCTCACTGTGCCCACCACCATCAAGCTTATATCCTGCCTTGGATTCCACTCGCATGGTGCATGCCCCGCAGTGCTCCGAGGCTGGCGGAAGCGGGTACCGAGGTGAACGTCTAGCACCACCCCGTCGGAGCATAGGGCCGAGCTGCGTGTCAGTGCAATTGCGTATGTTTCCTCATCTGCCTCCCATCACCTAGCACTTGTCCTTCCTTAGATTCAACTTGCTTGGTGCATGGCCGTGGAGTCCCGAGAGTGGCGGGAGTGGGCAACGACGTGAAAATCTAGCGCCACCCCGTCGGAGCACAGGGCCGAGCTGCGCGTCTGTGAAATTGCGTGTACTTTTTCACCTCGCTCGGCCAATGTAAGTTTCTCCCCAATCAGTGTTTACGCTGAAGGGGTCTTAGCGGACATAGAAGAGATTGGTGAAAATGGCCAGCCGATTTCGGTGGGCGGCTCTCGGTGGGCTGCTTTCGGTGGGCGCCCCCTCAAGAGATTGGCGAAAGCACCGGGCCGATTTCAGCGGGCGGCTCTCGGTGGGCGGCTGTCGGTGGGCGCCCCCTCTCTTTTTTGTCGTGTTTCTTTGTTCTCTCTCTCTCTCTCTCTCGCTCTTTCTTGGTATCTTTCTATGTCAGTGCTGTCGGTGGGCGCTCCTTCTCTTGTGTTGTTCTCTTTCTCTCTCTCTCTCTCTCTCTCTCTCTCTCTCTCTCTCTCTATAGCTTTAGCTCTCTCTCTCTCTCGTGGTATCTCTTTATCAATCTCACTCTTTCGTGTGTCCCCGATGCGGAATACATTATCTAATCGTTACGTACGATGCTCGTCTCCGCGTTATTATACATGTCGCTTTCTCGTTCCCCTCTCTCTCCCTCTCTCTCTCTCTCTCGCTTTTTCTCTCTCTCTCTCTCTCTCTCTCTCTTGGTAGATCGTTACATGTGCCTCAACCTTTGATTGACATGCAATACATCATCGAATCGTGCTGTCTGATTTTGTTGAAATTTCTGTCTCTCTCTCTCTCTCTCTCTCTTTCATTCCCCTCCCTCTCTCTCTCTCTCTCTCCGTCTCTCCCCCGCTACGCCATGCATTATACGATCGCTGTGTTTGATTGTGTTTCTCTCCCGCGCTATGCAATGTCTCCCTCTCTTTATGTCTCTTGGTATCTCTCTCTGCTCGTATTACATATACGTGTATACGTTTAAATCAATTCGATAAGACATGCAATGCTGCGGCCGGGCATGGTGCTGGCCAAACTTTCGAACCATCCACTGGTTGGGATCTTTATATGGTATAATGGTCATCTTGGCCGGTTGTATTTCGGGCCTTGTTTCTGGGTGGCGGTGAGGGCGTTAGCGGCGAGCATGTGATATTCATGCTCATGCGTGTGCATTGTTACATTGTTGTTGTCCGCCTACCCCTCTTGCCATCCTGCGCCTTGCCCGGTACGTAATCGACCTTTGCCAGCCGGCGGGGCACGCACGGGCCGCGCCGCGGCCCTCCTAACGCCTCACGACTGCGCGCGGCTGCGGCTTGCCCAAGACAAAACGGTCGAGGAGGAGAGGAGGAGGAGGAGGAGGAGGAGGAGGTGGAAGAGGAGGAGGAGGAGGAGGAGGAGGAGGAGGAGGAGGCCGACGAGACCGAGGCGGAGGAGGGGGCAGCAGAAGATGTGCCCGCCCCCACCCGAGCAACCCCGCCGTCGAGGAAGGAGGAGCTCTGGAGGAGGAGGTGAAGGGGAAGAAGGAGAAGAAGGGAAGGACGATGAGAGAAAGGAGGAATAGGAAGAGGAGGAAGAGGAGGAGGAGGTGCATGATTTTGAGGGGCCTGCCGACAGGCCCTGGTGTGCGTGCTGCCGTGCCGTGGCCCCCGCGACGCAGGCCTGCCCAGGGTCGACCGCGTCGCGTGCGCGTGATGCCAATGAGCGGTTGCAGCAGCAGGGCCTGAAAGCACATCGTTTAGCTGTTTTTTCGGGTCGAGGAATCCCTGCAGGCGGTGGCCCACCCTGTGGTTGCGTGCGTGCACTGTGGTGCTCACAGTGCTAAGCAGCTCAAGGCATTCCTTACCCCCTGTGGCGTGCCTGGCGAGCACATCGTTTAGTTGTTTTTCGGGTCGAGGAATCCCTGCAGGCGGTGGCCCACCCTGTGGTTGCGTGCGTGCACTGTGGTGCTCACAGTGCTAAGCAGCTCAAGGCATTCCTCACCCCCTGTGGCGTGCCTGGCGAGTGGGGCAGGAGGGCCGTCCGAAGGATGAGCCAAGGCTACCTGCCAGGTGTGGCTGGGAAAGTCCCAGCCGTGATCGCCCCGCTGGAGTAGGGTCTTCCCGCGTGGACAGTTGTGCCCTCAGAGGGGGGCTCCAGGGCATCGGGAAGAAGAAGGAGGTAGAGGAGGAGGAGGAGGAGGAGGAGGAGGAGGAGGAGGAGGAGGAGGAGGAGGAGGAGGAGGAGGAGGAGGAGGAGAGGCGGAGGAGGAGAGGGCAGGGAAGCGGGGCCGTGTCGCAGCGCAGCCGCATGGCAGAGGGGGGGGGGCGGCGGCGGGGCCGCGCCGGGCGCGTGCGCGCGCGAACGCACGGAGCGGAGCGAAACGGATCAAAGTGGCTGCGCGCGCGAGATCGAGTGGGCTTGGGACGCACAAGGACATACGACATGCTAGTTCTAGATGTCCTGGTTGGAGGCGTGCGTCCGTCCCGAGCATACAGTATACCCATCTAGCAGCAGATCGTTTCCCGGGCGGTGTGGCCAGAAAGCGCCCGCCACGACGCATGTACTATGAGATTTCTCGGTGCGCGCGTCGCCCCGGCCCCTGGGGGACCGACGCACACAACATGAGTACGTTGGGGTGACGCCGAGGGCAAGATCGGTCGGCATCGAATCGCCAAATCCGATCGAATCGGAATGCACGTCGGATCGAGCCGCGACGGCACGGAGGCGGGATCGAATCGGATCGACCGCGCCGGGATGCACAACAGCGCCGTGCAGGCTTCAGGCCGCTGCGGACCATCGGCACATCGGAACCGATTCGGATCGGGCCAGCCGGAATCAGAAAAAAATCGGATGGATCGGACCGAAATTCGGGGATGGACAGACCTCCCTTTAGTAAAACGTGGTTTAGTAAAAACGACCTGAGGCCCAAACCTGGCGGGCGCAAGCCTGGAAAATAACGGCCACGGCGCCCTCTCGAGAACCGAAAACGGACAATTCACTAATCGACGTGTCACTGTTGGGGGTTCTGTCCACCCCCGAGAAATAGACACGACCGCGTGCATCCGAGCTCTTGTCTGCCGTCGGGGCGGGCACGAGCGCGAGCGAGCTACAGAGAACAGCTCCTGCGCGGGCCGATCGCGGGATCGACCGCGCGCACGGGCGTTCTGGGAGGCTCCCGGCCGTGCGGAGCGCACCCCCAAAGGGGGGGAGGAATCGGGGCCGGACCGCGAAGCGCGAATGACTTCGCGCCCTCGGGGGCGCCCTTGGACCCCCAGGGCCATCCAGAACGGCTCTGGGATGAAGCACGGCCTCTGGGGAAGAGACCGGAAGCTCTGGTTAAGTCGGCCGTGTCCCCCTACAGGGGGATTTTCGACGAAACACATATTTTAAAAAATGCCCCAAAATTGTTATACATATATATATATATGTGTGTGTGTTTTTTTTTTTTAAAAAAAAAAAAAAAAAAAAAAAAAAAAAAAAAAAAAAAAAAAAAAAAAAAAAAAACTGTTTTTTACTTTTTTGGGGTATTCCCCCTGTAGAGGGACAGGCCCCACTGAAAGCTCTGGGGTCGCGGACGGAACCAAACACAGCGTCGGGCGCGTGGGTTTGCTGCGGGCGGCCTGGGTCCGAGGACCGAAGCGAGAGGATTCGAACACGCTCCGCCCTGTGCGGCGGTTCCTGGAGGCCTCTCCTTGCCGACCGGTTCCTGGAGGCCTCTCAGTGCCAACACTGGATCCCCTTCGAATCTCAACGAACCACAGAGAGGCCCAGATGTGAGACCGTAGGGGAGACAAACAGCAGGAGCAGAGGAGGACGAAGAGAAGAGGAGAAGGAGGAAGAGGAGGAGAACACCGATCGAGCCATGCCAAAGTGCTGCGTAAGCGGACACCTGTCGGGCGACCTGGCATCCTGGACAGGACGGCGTGGCGTCAGCAGAAGCAAGCGCAGTGCGGAGGGCCCCCCCCCGCGGGAGGCGAGCGCAGGTTGAGTGCAGGCCGTGCAGCGAGCTCGCGACGTCTTCGGCACGCTGGATAGCTACATTGCGAGGGTATGCTCCGGAGCTGCCTGGGAGCTGCGCAGGAGCCTTGAAGGCCTTCCAGAAACGCCGGCGCTCTGGGCGCACGTAGCGGGAACGGCGATGGAAAAAGGGAGGGGGCACACTGAACGCGCCAACGATGCCGCAGCCGCGCTCGCCAGCCCAAGGTTTTGACCCAATCGGTCGGCGTCTCGGCGCAGGGTGTCGAGTTCGTCGAATTGAAATCTCCATGGGATGCCTCCTTCCTCCCCCTGGTTCTCCTTTTCCTCCTCCAGCTCCTCCCTTCCGTGTCCTTCCCGCCTCCTCATGCCTCCCTTGTTTTCTTCATCCTCGTCCCCCTCCTCTGCCTCATTTTACGCTCGACCGACCTTAGGTTACCCTGTGGCTTTCGTGAAAAAACGCGCACGCGACTCGACTCAAGCAAAAAAAGCAACCCGGCGGGCGCCGCGGCCCAAGTGGGAAAACGAACCAAGGAAATAATAGACAATTGAGTAGGCGCCCGCCAAGTCCGTGAACAAGTGCAGCTTTGGTACCTTAGTAGCCTCTCCTCCCCACCCCTACCCCTGTAAGTAAAACAAGGAAGTGACACCCAACATTACATTAGAGGTACTTGCTGCGGAACGAGTGTGCAGTCGTAAGTAAGTAGCAGCACCGGCCAGAAATGCTACGCATCAGTTTGGCTACGTAAATGCAAACGAAAGGTGGAGCGGAGAAGGTCGAGACAATGACTGGCACTGCTGAAGCTTACTGGACTGCGTGTGGTCAGTAGTCCACAGTGGGAATGACAGATCATTCCCCGAATGACGTGCCAAAATGGCAACTCACTGTAGCCAGTAAACTGTCAGCTGGGAGAAAACATGCAGTCTAGTTAACCAGATACGAGAATCTGCAAAATAGCCTGATGATACAGGCTGAATGTTGGTAGTTATTGCGAGGTGCTCATGCTGTAAGAGAATATCGCTGTGCAAATAGGTTGGCCTGTAACAGGGTAGGGTGGCCGAGTGGTCTAATCAGAAATGGTTGGCCTGTATAGGTATAGGCTGGTCAGAGCAAAGGTCTGGTGTGTGCAAAACGAAAAAACGTGGGAATGGTATGGTACTAGATGCGCGGAGCATGGAGCAACTCGTAGAAGCAGCTTGTATCAGAATGTACCACTTGTGATTAACATGTAAGAAACGAAACCGACACATGTCCAAGCTGCTTCTGTCGAGTGCAGTCAGTGCGGCCAGTGCGTTCACGTGGGCAGATTGATCACGTGTGCGTCTAGGACAAGAAAGACGAGAGTCTGCGCTCGCTGAGTGGCCTGGGTATGAAGAAAAACAGGCGGCGAGGTCAAGTTGAAGGAGTGGCGTTCTGCAGGAGGCATGGTTACCATGACTGCGAGACCGTGACAAGCACGCATGCATGCTGCCGCGCGTGGCACAACAATGGAACCAAAAACGGGGCACCTCCCTGTCGGGGGCCCAAGTGCCCCCGGAGGGCATGGTAAGTGGAGGGTAACCTGTATCAGTAGGAAGGCGCCAACTATACACCAACACCGATCCTGGCCAGGATCACCCTGGGCCCAGGATCGGTGTATACGCCCTCCTGTCTTTCGCAAGAAGGTATATACACCGATCCTGGGCCCAGGGTGATCCTGGGCCAGGATCGGTGTTGGTGTATAGTTGGTGCCCTCCGAATCAGGTTCCCTCAAGGTGTCTTGCGTTAGCCCCGCGTGCTGCTACCCCCGCGCCGTGGGCGGCTGAAAGGAGGCCAACACCTTCGGCGTTCCTCCAAGTGTGTGCCGCTGCACCATCTCTGGGTAACAGCTATGCTGGCTGCAGGTGTGAGGAGGCGACGAGGCGTGGTGCTACTAGGGAGCGTGCGTAGATTGGCCTTTGGAGTAGGCTGGCCGCGTGGCTGGACTGTGATGCTACAGGCTGGCCAGAGTACATGTCCGGGATGCGCAGAATGGGCGGGATTGAGACGGTGCGGGGGAAAGGAGAACGCGTGGAACGCAAGGAAAAAATGCAGTCCTGTGGCCGCTACCTAGGGTTTTGCAAGATAGCCCCAAGCCTGCCAAAGAAAACGTACCACCATCGTGCCAAAGAGCCGCGCGGGTAACAAGAGGACAGGCGCATTGCAGATCAGGTATCTGGATGGGTCGTGCAATAACATTCAGGAGGGACAAAAAAACACAGACACAATTAATCGTCGATTCCCAGGAAAATATGGGAAAGTATGGGAAGTGTGGGGGAAGACAAAAACCCAGAAAATATTGGAAAATATGGGGAATCCTGTTATTTGTGTGTATTTATTTGTGTGTCCCAGTTTCCCTTCAAACATGGCGTGCTGAGAGATGCTGAGCGAACGCGCATGCATAACTGCTGTGCGACTCGGGGGCCACTGCACAGGGCCTTTGCAGGGCAACCCCACGCCCGCCGATGTCGCACCCTCCCCGGCTGTCGTCCAGCAGGATGAAGAAGTAGGAGGTGGTGCCGGGGGTGCTGATGGGAGCAGCCCGTGCCACAATCCAGACTAGCTCATGATAGCCATCTTGGAATGGTCTTGGGCGCCTCTGGAGCTGTCTTGGAGCGTGGGAAGCTCGAAAAGTTGCACAGCTTGCTGCCAACATGCAAGCATGCACGACAGGGTATGGTGAAGAGGTCTCGAGAGTAAGGTGCGCGAGAAAAAAACACAATCCTAGGGCCGCTACCCAGGGTCTTGTAGGATAGCCCCAAACCAGCTTGAGATAGAATACCACCACAGCGTCAAAAGGCCGCAGGGGAAACGGAGGAAGAGCGCATTGCAGGTCAGTGGTCTGTATAGACGGGCTGACTGCTGGCCTGTCCGCACTGCCACATCAGTGGGGGGCCCTTCTGCGGCAATTGACCCACATGAAGCACTGTTCGTGGATGTTGCGGTAGTCTGCAGTGCGTTCTGAACTGGTCGAGGTCACTCGTCGCCATGATTGTTGGCTCGGGAGTGGCCTTGCGCACCCTCGCCATGTGCTTGAGCGGCGGCTCCCTGCATGGCGCTCCAAGTGTGTGTGTGTTTGTTTGCGCTGTTGAGGTTGACCTCGTTGCGGGCCTGGCGCGTGCGCGGCCTGTTGATGCACTGCTGGAACGCGGGGTCTCTTGTTGATGAAGACGATGCGTCGATCACAGATCTGTTTATGGTCATCTCGTCGCGCTGCTTCGCGGCGCGTTGCGATTGCTTGAGCGGCGACCGTCGGGAAGTAGGCGCGTCGCGTCGCCAGTGTCTGCGGTGCTAGCTGTCGCCGTGGGATAGCTTGCATCCGTTGCTGGGAATTGACATCCTCGTCTGGTGGGTATATGATAGGCAAATAGAGTGCAGGCGGTGGCGGGCGAGCCGGCGAGTAGATGCGCGATGGCGACCATTTGATCACTGTGGTGAATGTAGGCTATGGCGTCTTTTACGATGCTGTTGCGTTGTTGGTATCGGGCCTTTTTTCGGGGGCTGTTGCGCAGCTTGGTCGGCCAGTTCGACCAGCTGCGCTGGCGGTGGCTTATGAGGCCTCTGGCGCGGCGCAGTCGCCATTGTCGTGGTCGGCTTGCTGGCGTGCATCTTCGGCGCGGGCTCACATGGGATCGCGTTTTGTTTTGGTTGTGCGTGGGTTGTGTTGTTCTGCGTCGCGACTGCTGGTGGTGCCGGCCCACGAGGTTCCGTGGGCTGATGCGTGATCTGAAGTTCCGCTGCTTGGTTAGTTGTGGCGTCGGTTGAATTTGTTGGGCTCGTCGGAATGTCCTTTGCCGTCATAGAGGACGGTAGCGCGGGTGCAAGCGGCTCGGTTGCCATGGGCCGTGCTGGCGGTGGTGGTTTGCTTGGCATCTGCTGGGCATGTTGTCATGCATTGGCGTTGCTGTCTCAGTCGTTGGAGCTGTCGCTGTCGTCGCGCTTGCTGGCGGTTTGTCGCCTCGGGTCAGACGAATTTTGCGCTCGCCGTGCCAAGAGTTGAACCATTGGGGGACTTCTTGTATGGCGGCGATCTTGACATTGACGAGCGGCGCGTGTCCCCCTGCAGTCAGCGCGACGAGGTGGTCGTAGGTCTTGACGACTTGTACTCTTAGTGCTAGGCTGTCGCGGCATTGTGCCGCAAATGCCAGCAGGTCGTTGCCGTTTCGTGCGAAGGTTGGGTGTTTGGGCGGCTCGTGCACTGGTTGGCGTGCGTCTGCTCTGATGGCGTCTGTTAGCTTGATCAGTTTTGCGCAGGTCGTAGCTGGTGGTGCGAAAATCGATAGTGGCGTGGTTTGGGAGTCGGGTCGAAGCGGCGGGCGCGGCAGGTACTGCTTGCCGTCTTGGCGAACGAAGATCTCTCTGTTATACTTGTTGAAATATCTGTGCCTGCCAGGTAGTATCAGGTCGTCATTTGGGAATATGAATGCGCATGCGTCAGTTGCTTCGTGGTCATCGGAGGTGAGGGGGTGAGATCGAAAGGGAACGGATAGCCCCCCTACCGGGAAATCGGTTTCGGTTTCGTGTTCGCGCGCGCCGTGCGCGCGGGCGAGGCGAAACTGCGTGGGCGGGCGAGAAGGGAGCCTCCTCCGGCTGAGGCGCGGCCGGACCAAATGATTCCTCTCCTGGGGCCGGTGCCGCGCGCTGCCCCGCCGGTGCCCCGCCTCCGGCTAAGGCGCGGCCGGACCAAATGATTCCTCCGGGGGCCGGTGCCGCGCGGTGTCCCGCCGGTGTCCCGCCGGTGTCTCGTCGGTGTCCCGATGATGATGCTCATGATGATGATGATGATGATGATGATGATGATGATGATGATGATGATAACGATGATGATGATGATGATGATGATGATGATGATGATGATGATGATGATGATGATGATAAAAATGATGATGATGATGATGATGATGCTGATGATGTCGATGATGTTGATGATGATGATGTTGGTGGTGATGATGATGGTGTCCCGATGACGATGATGATGATGATGCTGATGATGATGATGGTGATGGTAGTAATGGTGGTGACCCGATGATGATGTTGCTGATGATGATAATGATGATGTCCCGATGCTGAAATGATGCTGTTGATGATCCTGATGATGTTGATGATGATGAGATGATAATGAGATGACGATGATTATGATGATGATGTTGACGAGGGTATCCCGATGATGAAGATGAGGTTGATGATGATGCTGTTGATGATGATGGTGATGATGATGAATGTGTCCCGATGGTGATGATGTTGATGATAATGATGATGATGACGATCATGGTGTCCCGATGACGATGATGATGATGATGTTGATAATGATGATGATGATGATGGGGTGATGATGATGATTTCGATGATGGTGGCCCGACGATAGTGATGATGATGACGCTGATGTTGATGATGATGATGATGATGATGGTGCCCCGATGATGATGCTGGTGATGATGATGAAGATGATGGTAACGATGATGATGGTGTCCCGGTGATGGTGATGATGTTGATGATGGTGATGTTGCTGATGATGATGATGGTGTCACAAAGATGATGATGTTGATGATGATGTTCATGAAGATGATGGTGAGATGATGATGATGATGATGATGATGATGATGATGATGATGTTGGTGTTCCGATGATGGGGCGAATGATGGTGCCCCGATGATGATGAGGTTGGTGATGATACTGGTGACGATGATGGTGTCCCGATGATGAGGGTGGTGTTGATGACGATGATGATGTTGATGATGATGGTGATGAGGTGATGATGACGATGATGACGATGATGATGATGGTGCCCCGATGATGGTGATGGTGGACGTTGATGACGATGATGCTGATGATGATGACGTTGATTGTGAGATCGATTGTGAGATCGTTAGTGAGACCGAATGTGAGATCGAGTATGAGATCGATAGTGAGCTCGATAATGAGATCGATTGTGAGATCGATCGAATGAAATAGATCGAGTGAGATCGATTGTGAGATCGCTCGAGTGAGATCGATCGAGCGATACCGATAGTGAGATCGATAGTGAGATCGATAGTGAGACCGATCGAGTGAGACGTCGGTTCCACCCCCCCCGAACCTCCTAATCACCCGAAGGGTGGTCGTATAAGTATTCTGAATGGCGCCAGTGGTCTTCTTCTCGGGCTCCCTCGTCAGCGTCGTCGGCGCAGTTGCAGTAGGCAGTCCAGCCGCTGGGTAGGTACATGTCGTGACACATGTTCGGCTTGGGCGGGGAATAGCGAACTTCGTGGTAATCTTGGCCCGCGGGTCGTCTCTGTCATTGTCGTTGTCCTCGGATGCTGAAGTATCGCAACAAAGGTTGGGGCAACCGCCCTCGCGATCTTGCGATTCGTCGAGGTTGGTTTGCGCCAGTGGCGCCGGCATCTGTGCAGGCTCTGGCGGGATGGATTTGCGACTGTCGTCGTACCTTCTTTTGTCGCGCTTAGTCTTCTTCTTTGAAGGTGAGGTTTGGGATGGTCTGCTCTTGTGGTGGCAATTCCATTTAGCCAGCGCAAATAAGGCGCAACTCTTCCAGGCGGTCATGATTGTTCCTCTCGACGTCGCATCGATCAGCTAGATGTTGCCGCGCACATGCGTTGTGCTCTTCGTCTGGAGATAAGTCGGTGCGAAATCGGAACCCGAGCTCTGTCCGCGTGAACTCGGGCGGTGCGCATGCGAATTGGGGTCCGAGAAGGCGCGGTTGGACGCTGGAGGGTTCGGCCTCTATGCAAGTCGGGTTGCAGTCGTCGCAGATGATGCGTTTGCTGGGTGGAGCTCCGTGGTGCGTGTAGGTCCGAGGCTGCCAATGGTTTGTGAAATCCGGTAGTCTCTAGCGGGTGCCTTGACTTCGTTGTGCGTCGGAGGTGTTGGGCCTGCATGGTAGTCGGGACAAAGACGTGCACTGTCCACCCATTGGTTGAGCAGTTCGCACTCGAGGTCTGTGGCGTCTTCGTGTTCCACGTATTTGGGCTGCTCGTAAGTGACTGGTGGAGCGAACTATCGTCGGCTCTTTCCCAGTATGCATGTCGCCTTCGACGGGCGGAGAGTCGAAGCGCTGGATGCGTGGAATGAATCTGCTAAGTAGTTGGCAAGCGAGAGCAATTCCGACCCCGACGCGACGTTGTGGTTTGAATCGATCATGGGACAGATGAAGGTACGTCCTTCGTACTTGTTCGTCGTACTTGATTTTCGCGTGGATGGCGCAGTCCTCGTCCATCTGGAAGTCGTACCTTTTTAGTGCTCTGCTGATAGCAAAGTTTGTATAATGTCTCCTTGAAGATCTCTTCGGTGCCGCCCTCGTTGAAACACGCGCATTTGCGTCGTACCCGTGGTCGATGTCGTCACTGAACTCCTGCCGTGTGCTATATCAGACTGAGGGGGGCCGAACGGTCATGCAATGCCCCTGCGTGCGTGGCTGAAAAAAAGAATTCGTGGTGGGAGATCTGTTTGTTGCGTTGTCGGTGTTGTTGGTGTTGTTGTTGTTGTTGTTGCTTGCTGGTGTCGTCGTCCCAGCCTGGGCCCACCCGCAACACACCCTGCGGCCCACCAACGACCCAGCCGCGACCCACCCGCGACCCACCCCGCGACCCACACGTGACCCACCCCGCGACCTATCCGCGACCCATCCGCGACCACCCGCGACCCACCCCGCGACCCACCCGCGACCCACCCCGCGACCCACCCTCAAGGGACAAAAAAACATCCGCACCCGACCATTGACGTTTACTAAACGGCCTGGGCGTTGACTACACAGCCCTGACCTGCTAGATTCATTCCTCGCGTGCGTTTACTAAACGGCTTCGCTTATGGGGTGGATGTTCTGCCCCTTACACCCGCGATCCACCCGCGACCCAACAACGACCCACCCGCGACCAATGTGCAACCCACCCGCGACAGACCCGCATTTGTTTAACGGAAAAATTGGCGCCTGCGGCGAGCTCGTTGCATAAATTGTGAAACGTTGGCGCCAACGGCGGCCTTCTCCAGAGTCTCGTAAACTGCCGACGTCCCCACCGCCCCCTCACTCTTATCCGCATTTGCTGGGTGCCACGTATGAGTGGCAATGGCCGCAGGCACCTTGGTGGCTCATCGTCATCGATGAATGGCTGGTCGTCGGGTCTGTAGTCGGTTTTCTTGCAGCAGCGTATTGCCATCGGCCGTTGTGACCAGTGGAGCTCGACGTCGTGGTGCGAGTTGAGGTACTTCCAGCCGATGTGAGTCGGACGTAAAGTAATTTGAAGTCAGACTTGTTGATGTATGCAATCGTAATGTGTGTCTCGTTTCTGGCCTCGGCCCATCCTTTACTGGTCGGCACAGGCAGGTACTGGTGTCCAAGTGGTAGTGAGATGTAGACGTGGTGCTTCTTGATGTCGCCCTCGGAGATCAGGTCTTGCTTGTCTGACTCGGCATGCGTACGAAGCGGTTGAGCGCACTCGGGGTCGTATGTAGGTGGTGTAGCCGTGCGTAGTAGGTCAGATATGTTGTGCCTGCTACGGGTGCGGACTCGTGGTGGTATTGTCTCGCTGCCTCCGTCGATGTACTGCTCAGTAGACTGGCGGTATAGTGAGTCAATCCAGTAATTGCATTGTTTCGTGATGTCGTCGTTCGTCTTGGCTGCCCATGTCATGTGAATCGACAGTGACGACAGGTAGGCAAATCGTGGCGCATTAGCCCATATACCCTCGAAAATGGCGTATGTGGTGTTGTTGGCCCGGCTGTATGGGGGCGGCGTCGGGAGCATGGTGCTGACGATGCATGTAAGGACGATCGTGTCAGCAATCGGTTTGAGCCTGATGGTAACGGGAACAGTGTAAGTGGAATTGTGCTGACAAATCTGTCAATCGGTCAAATGTTTCACATGTGTCCTCGGGACCTTGTCACGGTCTTGTCTCGACGACTCTCCCCCAGGTATGCCCCTCGGGGCTCCCATGCAGGGTATGAGGCTGTGTGTTTATGTTCCTGTGGCGTGTGGGCTGCATGGTAATGAGTAATACCCGCATCATACGTGTGTATTACAGGAAGTAGGCCCGTCGGCAAGCTTGTGAACGAATTTCCTGGCGGTCCTATCATTGTGGATGTCCGTTGTATGTCGAGAACAAACCAATGAATGTGGTGTCGGCGCCTGAAATATGTCTCGACAGCGAAAATAATCATCAATAGCTGAGAGTACCAGTCTCCCGGATAATCGCGTAGCAGAACACCTTGAGGCGTCAGATGTTGTACCTGAGTGTGCTGAAAGGCCTCTACCCCAGGTATGCCCGTTGGGGCTCCCATAGAGGGTCTGAGGCAGTGGTTGTCCATTGCTTGCCTGTACTTGCTGGGTGTCGTTGTATTGTCCTCCTCCTCCTCCTCCTCCTCCTCCTCCTCCTCCTCCCCCTCCTGGTCCCTCTTACATGCTCCCTCCTCCCTCGTCCCTCGTCCCTCATCCCTCCTCCCTTCTCCCTCCTGCCTCACCCCTCCTCCCTCCTCCTTTTCCTCCTCCTGCTCCTCCTCCTTTTCCTCCTCTTCTCCCTCATCCTCCTCCTCTTCCTTCTCCTCCTCCTCCTCCTCCTCCTCCTCCTCATCATCATACCCATCCTTATCTTCCTCTTCCTCCTTTTCCTCGTCGTCCTTCCCTTCTTCTCCTTCTCCCCCTTCTCCCCCTTCACCTCCTTCTCCGGAGCTCCTCCTCCGTCTACGGCGAAGTTGCTCGGGTGGGGGCGGGCACATCTTCTGCTGCACAAACTCGTCGGCGAAGAACGTCTGGGCCACCGGAGCGGGATCCGCAAGACCTCCCCGGCACGCTGCTGACGCGGCCAGGCAGAGAAGGGGCTAGGCAGGACGGACGAGGAAAAGGAGGAGGTGGAGCCCTCCTCCCACATCATCCTCCCTCGTCGTCCCCAACCTCGTCCTCCTCATTATCCTCCTCCTCCTCCTCCTCCTCCTCCTCCTCCTCCTCCTCCTCCTCCTCCTCCTCCTCCTCCTCCTCCTCCTCCTCCTCCTCCTCCTCCTCCTCCTCCTCCTCCTCCTCCTCCTCCTCCTCCTCCTCCTCCTCCTCCTCCTCCTCCTCCTCCTCCTCTCCTCCTCCTCCTCCTCCTCCTCCTCCTCCTCCTCCTCCTCCTCCTCCTCCTCCTCCTCCTCCTCCTCCTCCTCCTCCTCCTCCTCCTCCTCCCTCCTCCTCCTCCTCCTCCTCCTCCCTCCTCCTCCTCCTCCTCCTCCTCCTCCTCCTCCTCCTCCTCCTCCTCCTCCTCCTCCTCCTCCTCCTCCTCCTCCTCCTCCTCCTCCTCCTCCTCCTCGATGTTCCTCCCCTCGTTCCTCCTCCTCTCCCCCTCCCTTCTTCCTCCTCCTCCACCTCTTCCCTCCTCCTCTTCCTCCTCCTCCTCCTCCTCCTCCTCCTCCTCCTCATCCTTGTCCTCCCCCTCCCCCTCCCCTTCCTCGTCGTCCCCTTCCTCCTCCTACTTTTCCCCTCCTCCTCCTTCTCTCCTCCTCCTTCCCCTTTTTCCTCATCCTCTTCCTCTCCTCCTCCTCCTCTTCCTTCTCCTCCTCCTCCTCCTCCTCATCATCATCCTCCTCATCCTCCTCATCTTCATCCTCCTCCTTCCTCCTCCTCCTCTCTTCCTGCTCTTCCCCCTCCTCCTCCCTCCTCCTCCCCCTGCCTCTCCCAGACCGAACGGCGGCAACCACAATCGGACAGGACCACCGAAAACGGAAGCTACCGCCTATTCTCGGAACCCGCTGTGAACGGCGGGCCGCATCCTTCCACGCGGCCGTCGTACACCATGAGCAACAGGCCCGCGAGAGATCGAAGTCGTGCTCTGTCCTGATATTCATGCGCGTTCTTTCCTGAATACCAGCGCACCCGTTTGGAGGGAGAAAGGGAACGGACAGCACCATGACGACGCACCTCCCATGACGGAGTTGGGCGCGGCTGGGCCTCTAGCCTTAATGTTACTACACTTTGTTGCGTGTCAGAGGCTCGGCCACGCTCAGCCATGACTTCATAGCTCATTGATCCAGAACCGCGGATCGAGCGTCGGAATAGGTTTGACGCTCTTGGGGCCCATGGGGTCGCCATCAGGACCGCGCGGCTGGATTCGCTTCGGAATTATTGTCAAGAAACGCCCCAGGAAATGGACGCGTCTGGGGATCAGACTTCGAGGCACGGGACCCAAAACTCCAGCGAATCGATTGTTACTCTCCTGCGTTGGTCCCTTTTCTCGACCCCTGGTGGCCATGTTTGGACCGTAAAACCCAAGACTGTCCAGGATGAGAACTCATCCGCATCGAAGGCGTCGAGAGCTCAGGGGCCAATGGATTGAACATTGCGGGCCCACTGGAGGCTGGGAAGGACGCGAGCAACGCCCTACGATTCTCATGCCGTGAGGCCGAAAACACACAGAGCGGAAGAACGCCGCCCAATCCTTGTCGGACGGATGTCCGGCGCAAATGAAAAAGAAACAAAGACGAAGGGACCGCGGGGGAAGCCCATCTATATTGCGTACGCAGGGGCGGCGGACACGCGTTGCCCTGCCCCTCGGACCTGTGGTCTCGATGATCACGGCGTCCAGCAGCTTGCCACTCCTGTCCAGAGGTCACACTCAAGATGCCCCAAGACCCAGCGCCCCGCTCAAACACTCCCAAACGTCGAAAAGGGCACGATGTATCCCTCTCTCTATCTGTCTCTCTGTCTCTCTCTCCCTCTGTTGTTTGTCTGTATATCTCTCTCTCCTTCTTTCTCTCTCTCTCTCTCTCTCTCTCTCTCTCTCTCTTTATCTCTCTCTCTCTCTCTCTCTCTCTTTCTCTTTCTCTCCCTCTCATATATCTATACATATATACAGATACTAGAACCACGCGCGCGCTTCGCGCGCGCTTAGTCTCTCCTCCCCCATTTCTTTCCCTGACGCTCCTCCACTCCGTTTTCTCTCAAATCCCATCAAAACACCCCTCTCCTCTCCTTTGATCCTCATCCCCCCTCTCCTGACCTCCGTTCACCCTCCCCATTTCCCCTTTTCCCCTCCCCCTCCTCCTCCATATCTGAGTCAGGCCAGAACTGGACTCTGCACCGCAATCATCTTCTTCGTCCACTGACCGACCGACACCCCCTACGGCGCATACAGGTTTACAAACAACAAAAGTGCCCAACTAATCAACATCCCCCCGACATTGTTTTTTCAAGCAACGCCTGCAAGGAACAAACGACCGCCCGTGTAGCTGGCAAAATGATTCGGCGCTGGTCGCGAAAATATGTGTCGATGAGAACGAACTCATTAAATGGCATCGCGGTGTGCTCAGATGTGATTTGACACGCTGCAGACGCCTACACATAAGAACCAGCGGCCGCTCCAAGATTTGGCTGGAGAGCCTTGCGTCGAGAAGGAGGAGAGGAGGCGGAGCAGAAGGAGCAAGGGTCGGGGGATGACGTGGAACTGATGAAGAAAGATAGGGAGAAACTGAAGGGCATGGAATGCTGAGTAGCCCTAGAATTATGCGCTTGACTGCACCTGTGAACAAAAAACTGCGAAAGCACCCATCTATATGGCTGGCAAGATGACATGATTCGGCACGATTAGCTACGTAAGACGACTTCGCACTCCTGGCATCTCCACTGGAAACGCAGGACAGGGAGCATGTAGAAGGAGGAATGGCGCGCGCTCAAGGTTCTATGGCCACCTTGAAGGAGCCTTTCAAACATGCGCAAGGTGACTCTGGCCTCTTGGGCCGTCTCAGACTCCTCCGAGGCGCTGTTTGGGCCATCCCTTGGGCCGTCTTGGCGCCCCCGTCTTGGGCCACAGATGGGCCCCTCTGGGCCATCCTGGGCGTCTCTTGGCGTCGTCTCGTGGCCGTCTTGAGTCCATCCTTAGCAAATCTTGGGCCGTCATGGGCCCTTCTGGGGACCATATTGGGGCATATTGGGGCCCTCTTCGGCCTTCCTTGGCTGTATTTGGACCGTTGTTGGCGCCCCCTTTCGGACCGTCTTGGGGTAATCTGGGGTGCCTCCTGGGCCATCTCGGACGCTCTGAAGACACAGAAAACGAGCACGCTAAAAACACTGAAAAGCAGTTCGGGAATGATTGATTTTGACTTCTCTGAGGCCTCTTGGAGTTTTTCGTGGAGTGTTCTCGGCGGGTCCTGCGCCGTCTTGGAGGCGTGTAGAAGCGCTCTGGGCACCATATTGGGCTGTCTAGGCCCAATTGGTGGTCTCCCGACGCCGTTCGGATGTCGAAATCGTGACGTCGACTACCCTTGAAACCGATATAACCTCCCAGAGCTCCGGAAAAGAGCCCTGGACCCCCAGGTGCTAAATTCTGTGCCCAGGGAGTGGCCCCATTTGTCATTGTGTGCCCGCGGGGGGGGACACCCAATACCTGCTACAAGCATCGGAAAACCATGGATTTTCCCCCCTTGGAGCCCTCTTGGGGTGCCTCGTGGAACGCTCCTGGAGCGTCTCGAGGGCGTTTGGGCCGTCTGGGAGCGCATCTGGAGACCTCCTGGGAAGACTCTTGGGGGCCTGCTGAGTTCGTGCTCCAGGACTCTTGAGGACTCCGGGTGTCCCGGTGCGCGGAGATGTCTAAATCCTGGTTCGTGCTCCCCCTCCGGGGCTGATCTTCGGCAGTTTCTGACACGTTCTCGGGCCGTCCTGGAGATCTCTTGGGCCGTTCGGGGGGCCTCTTGGGCCGTCACGGCGCCCGCTTAGGAGTCTCCCAGGCCGTCTCGGGGCGACTCTCGGGGCCTCTGAAGTAGTCCTGGAGCGCTGGGTCGCAGAAGGAACAATAGACAGACAAAAAACGCCCCAAACCAGTAGAAAAGGACGAGAACGAGGAGGAGATGGAGGAGGAGGAGGAGGAGGAGGAGGAGAAAGAGGAGGAGAAGGGAAGAGGAGGGAAAACAAATGATTGTTGCCTCTTGGGGTCCTCGGGGGGTGCCCCTTGAAACCCTCTTGGAGCGTCTTGGTGGCGTTTCCGGCCGTCTGCGGGCGCTCGTGCAGCGTCTTGGTGGCGTCTTGGGCCTCCTGGAAGAGCCCAGGGGGCGAAGATGCTATCAGTAAGCGTTTTCCCACAGGAGCGGGACGGTTTTTGATGATTGTGGCCCTCAAGGGGGGCGAAGCACGTGGAACGGGGCCCCGCCCCCGCAGAGCCACCCGGCAGGTTGGACGCTCTGTGCGGCAGTCGGGGATGTCCCTTGGAGGCTTTCCGAAACACGTTCTGAAGCCCCTCGGGGCCTCTTGGCAGCCTCATTGGGGCCTCTTTTGGACCTCTCTTGGGGGCCTCTCGGCGGCCTCCGGGGTCATCTTGGGGTGGAGGGCTGGGAATCTCAGTTCGCGTTCCCAGTCGTGGGCCTTTCATGGGGCTCTCCTGGTGCCCTCCTCGGCTGTCTTGGAGGCCTCTTGAGCCGTCTTGGGGCCATCTTGGGCAGTCTTTGGCCGTCTTGGGGCCTCCTTGGAGTCCTCTTGGGCCGTCCCAGGGCGACTTTGGGGGTATCGTTTCTTGTCCCCCCGTCACTTTGGGGGTGTCGTTTTTTTGTCCCCCCCGTCAGTTCACGCTGACCTCGTTATGTTTGCTTGTGAAGGCGATCGCCTCGATGGGCAAGCAGTGCTGTGTCCCAGGTGGCCCAGGCTCGGCACCTCTGCGGTCGGAAGCACCCATCTGCCACGAGGCGTGCCAGGGGCGCGGTCAGGCAGCGCCTCCAGTGGAGGGGGCCGAGCCTGAGCCGACCTGCGGGAGGGAAAACACTCTGGCTCCAGAGCGCAGCGAGTCGTGGGTGGCGGCGCGCCGTGACTCTAAGCCGCGCTTCAAAGACCTGGCACGGAGTGCCACGGCGCGAGAGGCGACGGGCGTCCAAAGCAGCGAGAAAGGCATCGGTTCCAGCAGCGCGCTTTAAAAGGGCCGAGTTTGAATCAGAAAATTATAACTGGCAGGAGGGGCGCCAGGGAAACCTCACTGGATTGGAGTGGGCACATATATCATCCTGATGCCAACGTCGGAGAATGGACTCTAGATGGGGACAACGCATGTAATGATTAATGGGTTAATGGAGTCGAGGTCGGTCGTAGCCTCCGAAATGCATCCGAACAAACATCCCATGGGTAGAGAGTGGAAGCGCGCCGAGGTACGAATAGTCAGCATGCGCAGGGGCGCAAGTCCCACGTACATCGAGGTGGCCTCGCACACGGTCTGAATCGACTTGCAACGTTGGGGGTATCTTGGGCTGCCTTCGACGCGGTGAAGACTGAAAAAGCGAATGTAGTGAATTTGCTTTTTTCCCACGGCTTCGAAGGGTTCGACTTCGCCATCGAGCGCTTGACTGGGGGGGCCTCCGAAGACATCCCTCGCGAAGGGAATGGGGGCACCCGGTACACGGGGCTCTTCTTAGAGGCCCTGGGGCGCCCTCCCGAAATTAATGGAGACCACGCTCCACTCGCACATTTGGAACTAAATTACGTGGGGCATCTCTGGTGGAGCTCCTTGAGCGTACACTACGTGTACCCACCACAGTGGATAGAGGAACAAACAACGGCATACATACAATTTCTCGGAGGTCCGCGCGGATTCCTTGGATCGGTGCAGGACCCCCCCTCCCTAACGCGCGGAGCGCGCCAGGGGCGGCGCCAGAGGCGCCGCCAGGGCGGCCCAACGTCAATCCAAGAGATCTGGGCCGAGCTCCCGAAGGCTATGTTTGTGCAGTCCGATGCTTCTCGAACGGAGGAGGTCCAATAAAGGACCGATGAGGAGGAGACAGCCGGACCAAGGATAGCGAAACACCCTTCAAGAACATGAGACCCACCGCCGGCCAAACTGAAGAACATTCGAGGGTGCCCTCCCCCAGGATACACAAGAACATCCGACAAGCACGAAGAACATTAGGGTACCCTCCCGGAGCCGACCTCGATCCTGTAGCTGGGTCCGACTGCAAGGATCGAGGAGGAGGAAGAAAAAGAGGGATCCTCGGCCCTCTTCCTGGGCGTGCAGGAGCCGAAACCCCACCGGCTCTGGGGGCCCACGCGAGACCCGGCACGAGCAGGACGTCGCGAGCAGGCCCGCTCCCTCCACTGGGCACGCCCAAGCCCAGATCCCCGACGAGATGATTTGATCAATCCTGTTCCCAGAATCTGGCCTCTGGGGCTCAACATCGTGCGGCAAACTTGGCGGGTATGGGGGGCTTTCGGCCCTCCTCCATGCTCGGTGTTCCTCCCTTCCTCTCCCTCTTCCTCCTTCTCCTCCTCCTCCTCCTCCACCTCCTCCTCCTCCTCCACCTCCACTTACTCCTCTTCATTATCATCATTGTCCTCCTGGCCCGCTTCGGAGATCAACGTGCCAGGTTCCCACGAACAGGGGAAGATGAGCTCGTTAGCAAGGACCCCTTTTGATAATGATGTCTTCAGTAAGTGCCCCTGAAGGAGGATACCCTTTTACAAAGGACTCCCTGGGCAAGGATTCATTCATAAGGATTCCTTTCGTGAGGGTACTTTCAGCAAGTACTCACTAGCAAGGCTCCTTAGTAAGTCTTCTTGTGCGGGATCGCTTAGTAAGTAGTCCCTGTAGTCTGTAGTGGACACTCAAATCGGTTTCCAGGAATGCCATTTACTTGAGGTTCCGTTGGTAAGGATTTTGTCAGTACTGGTTGCTGAGTATCGGCTCGTTGGTAAGGACCTCTTAGAAAGGATGTCTTCAGTAACGACCCCCGTAGTAATGTTTCGTTCAGCACTGCGTCATTTAGACAGGATTCGTTGCGCGACTACTCATTCAATAGATAACTCTTCAGCACGGTTTCCTTTGAAAGTGTCCCTTTGGTACGGATTATGTGGATTCTAATTCGCTTAAGAGTATACGGCCCCCTTCTACTAAGGATTCCGTCAGCAAGGGTTCCTTCAACAAAGACTCGACCTATCTCTTCCTAATAAGGTTTGATGAGTAAGGGCTCACGAAAGACTCCTTAGCAAGGATTCCGTACGTAAGGAATCCTTGTGCAAGACTTGGTCAAACCACTCCTCATGCTCATCCTCCTTTCTCTTTTATGAATAAGAAGAAAGAAAGAGAAAGAGAAAGAGAGAGAGAAAGAGAACAGAAAAAAACAAAAAATATAGACAAAGGGAGGGAGAGAGAGAGAGAGAAGCAACAACAACAACAACATCTATACATAGACAAGTGTGCAAGACTGCGTTGGGGCTTCGCGCTATGCACGTTGGCCCTTGCGGCTTGACCTGCAAGTAATAAGGCAATGAGGTAAAACGGAGCATTTAGCGATACATCGTTATTTCCTTTTTCGGCATCGCCGTTGTGAGAATGTTGTTTGTCATCATTCCCTCATACTTCCTCTTCCTCTTCTTTATTCTCGCCCTGCCCTGCGAATTCGTCCCCATCCTCAGCTCTGTTTGTGGAGGCTCATCCTAGGAGAGCCTCTTGGGGGCCTCACGAAACTTGTTATGGGCTTATTGGGGCCTTCTGGCGGCCTCTTGGGTTCCTTCTGGGGCCTCTGTGGGACTCCCCGGGCCACCATGCCTCCAACCCCGGTCTCCCTGAACGACCCGGTCACAATTTGGAATGACTCGGGGGTCGTCGCGAGGCGATCGTGGGCCGTCATGGCGCGATCTTCGGGTCATCTTGGGGCCATTTTGGGCTGTCTTGGGGCTCCTCTTGGGTTGCCTGAAAGCCCTCTTGGTTAAACTTGGGGCGATGCTCTGGCCTCCTGGGCGGTCTCAGACGCCCAGCTGACCGAAGAACGGAGCATTCCGCAAAGCATGCAAAAGCCAGAAAAAACACTGTTACCTAACAGCGAAGACTGATGGGTTTCTAGTAGTGTCAAAAGAGGGCATCATGACTCCCCAGGGGGGTCTGGGCGGGATCCGGACAGAGTGCCCCGGGAAATCGGGGACTCCTTTTTTAGCCAACAATAATTCACTTCGTGCTCTTCGAGCTGCCAGAACTCCGCTCCTGGGCATGATTTTGAATACCCGGAGCCAACTGTAGGCCACTTCATGTTCTTCGAATTCCCAGAACTCCATTCCTGGGCATGATTTTGAATGCCCGGAGCCAACTGTAAGCCACTTCGTGGTCTCCGAGTTCCCAGAACTCCATTCTTGGGCATGATTTTGAATGCCCGGAGCCAACTGTAGGCCACTTCGTGGACTCCGAGTTCCCAGAACTCCATTCCTGGGCATGATTTTGAATGCCCGGAGCCAACTGTAGGCCACATCGTGGCCTTCGAATTTCCAGAACTCCATTCCCGGTCCACATTTTGAATGCTGAGGCAGGCTGATGCTGAGGCTGAGGCAGGCTGAGGCTGAGGCCGAGGCCGAAGGCAGACTGAGGCTGAGGCTGAAGCAGGCTGAGGCTGAGGCTGAGGCAGGCTGAGGCTGAGGCTGAGGCAGGCTGATGATGAGGCAGGCTGAGGCTGAGGCTGAGGCTGAAGCTGAGGCTGAGGCAGGCTGAGGCTGAGGCCGAGGCTGCAGGCAGAATGAGGCTGAGGCTGAAGCAGGCTGAGGCTGAGGCTGAGGCTGAGGCAGTCTGAGGCTGAGGCTGAGGAAGGCTGAGGCTGAGGCAGGCTGAGGCTGAGGCTGAGGCTGATGCAGGCTGAGGCTGAGGCAGCCTGAGGCTGAGGCCGAGGCTGAAGGCAGACTGAGGCTGAGGTTGAAGCAGGCTGAGGCTGAGGCTGAGGCAGGCTGAGGCTGATGCTGAGGCAGGCTGATGCTGAGGCAGGCTGAGACTGAGGCTGAGGCGGATGCAGGCTGAGGCTGAAGCCGAGGCTGAAGGCAGATGGAGGCTGAGGCTGAGGCAGGCTGAGGCTGAGGCAGAGGCAGGCTGAGGTTGAGGCTGAGGCAGGCTGATGCTGAGGCAGGCTGAGGCTGAGGCTGAGGCTGATGCAGGCTGAGGCTGAGGCAGCCTGAGGCTGAGGCCGAGGCTGAAGGCAGACTGAGGCTAAGGCTGAAGCAGGCTGAGGCTGAGGCTGAGCCAGGCTGAGGCCGAGGCTGAGGCAGGCTGGTGCTGGGGCAGGCTGAGGCTGAGGCTGAGGCTCATGCAGGATGAGGCTGAGGCAGGCGGAGGCTGAGGCCGAGGCCGAAGGCAGACTGAGGCTGAGGCCGAAGCACGCTGAGGCTGAGGCTGAGACAGGCTGAGGCTGAGGCAGGCTGAGACTGAGGCTGATGCAGGCTGATGATGAGGCAGGCTGAGGCTGAGGCCGAGGCCGAGGCTGATGCAGGCTGAGGCTGAGGCCGAGGCTGAAGGCAGACTGAGGCTGGGGCTGAAGCGGGCTAAGGCTGAGGCTCAGGCAGGCTGAGGCTGAGGCTGAGGCAGGCTGAGGCTGAGGCTGACTGAGGCTGAGGCTGAGGCTGAGGCAGGCCCAGGCTGAGGCAGGCTGAGGCTGAGGCCGAGGCTGCAGGCAGACTGAGGCTGAGGCTGATGAAGGCTGAGGCTGAGACTGCGGCAGGCTGAGGCTGAGGCTGAGGCTGAGGCTGAGGCTGAGGCAGGCTGATGCTGAGGCAGGCTGAGGCTGAGGCTGAGGCTGATGCAGGCTGAGGCTGAGGCAGGCTGAGGCTGAGGCCGAGGCTGAAGGCAGACTGAGGCTGAGGCTGAAGCAGGCTGAGGCTGAGGCAGAGGCAGGCTGAGGCTGAGGCTGAGGCAGGCTGATGCTGAGGCAGGCTGAGGCTGAGGCTGAGGCTGATGCAGGCTGAGGCTGAGGCAGGCTGAGGCTGAGGCCGAGGCTGAAGGCAGACTGAGGCTGAGGCTGAAGCAGGCTGAGGCTGAGGCTGAGGCAGGCTGAGGCTGAGGCTGAGGCAGGCTGATGCTGAGGCAGGCTGAGGCTGAGGCTGAGGCTGAGATGCAGGCTGAGGCTGAGGCAGGCTGAGGCTGAGGCCGAGGCTGAAGGCAGACTGAGGCTGAGGCTGAAGCAGGCTGAGGCTGAGGCTGAGGCAGGCTGAGGCTGAGGCTGAGGCTGAGGCTGCTGAGGCTGAGGCTGAGGCTGAGGCTGAGGCTGAGGCCTGAGGCTGAGGCAGGCTGAGGCTGAGGCTGAAGGCAGACTGATGCTGAGGCTGAAGCAGGCTGAGGCTGAGGCTGAGGCAGGCTGAGGCTGAGGCAGGCTGAGGCTGAGGCCGAGGCAGGCTAAGGCTGAGGCTGTGACTGCGACTGCCGTTGCCGCTGCGTCTGTCATCGCGAATGCGACTACGACTGCGAGAGCAGCAGGATTCTAAAACTGGATTTTCATCTGAATATTACAGGGAATGCTTCCAGACATGCTCCTACACATCGCTGTTAGGTTGTTTTGCCGGGGTAATTGTTGTTGCGTTTCGAATGCTTTTCGGTGGTCTTTGTTGGGTCGTCTTCTGGCATCCGGTGGGCGCCTGGGGCCTCTGCGGGCTCTCGCGGGGCCGATCGGCCGACCTCCAGTCCGACTTGCGCCTCTGTGGGCCCTCCGGGGGCCTCCTGCGCGGTCGTCGGGGTGTCTTGGGAGCCTCCTTGGGCTCTCGTCGGTGCGACTGGGGCCCCTTCGGGCCGCTTGGGGCACCTCTTGGGGGCATCCTGGGGCCTTCTTGGGAGTCATGCGCAATTGTAGATTTCCCTTGCTTTTTTTGAACGGTTTGGGCCTCTCGAGAGCTCCCCTGGGCTCATCTTGGGCGATGCTGGGGGCCTCTCGTGAGCCCCTGGGCACGCTCTTGGGCGGTCTGGGCGGCCTCGAGGGTCGTCGGAAAGCCGTCTTGGGCTGTCTCGGGGGCGTCCGGAGAACCTTCTCGGGCCGCTCAGTGCACTATTGGGCTGTCTCGGGGGCGTCCTGGGCCGCTGTCTCGGGGGCGTCCTGGGCCGTCATGACGCCTCTGCCCCGGGGTCGCCCTGGTGGAAGGTCCCCAGGCGCCCCGCGCGGCCTTCTTCCCCCTCGGAGTTCCTCCAGCAGCCCCACTTCCAAATTCCCCCAGCTGACCAGAGCTGTCCGTTGTGGCATCGCAAGGAGATGCGACGACGCAATTCCCCCCGGCTTGAAACGCGCCCGGAGACAGCCGTGGATAGGGCGTGAACATCGAGGCCGGCACCTCGAAGTCCTTCGCTGGAACGGAAAAGTGGCGCGACGGGCCGGGGGGAAACGCGCCGGGGGCGCGACCGCCCATCGTCTAAAACGTCATGGTCTAGCCCGGCAAATCTACGACCCCCCGGCATCTCTCGGGGCCCCGCTGGCAGAAGAGGAGGCGCATCTCGTGCTCAAACGTCCAATTCCAACGCTCCCACGCGGCCCTCAATGCCCGGAAGAACCAGCGTCGTCGAGAGGACCCGCGCTCGCCCACCCACTCCACTCGCGCCGGTGCCCCTGGAAGGGCCCGGATTATAGCGGGCACCTTTGAGGCCCAGTGCCCCTCGATCTGTCTCAGGGCTGGTTCCGCGGCGAAATCTTGGCCAGCGGCTGCATTTACCGCCGCGGCCCCGGGGCCCACGGCTAAGAGAACCGCGACATAAGCGGGGGGGGGGCCCATCGAGGCGCGAGGGCGAGGCGTGGTCCAACGCACTCGCGCATGGCAAGGCAAATCCCGTTATCAAAAATGGTCCTTCCTTCGCCCCCGCGCCCGGGCTCGACTTGTGTTCGGGCACTCCCGCGACCGGTGCCCTTTCGGATGGCAGAGCCGGCCGGCACCGAGTGCGATGATCAATTCTGCACTCGGAGGCCGACTCTTGCGCGCCCTGAAGGCGCCGCCAGCTCCTCTGCGACCAGGCTTGCGAGCCCCCGTCGCGCCCATCACTGCCGCGAGCCGCGCCGGACCTGTCGTAGAACTTCATGTCAGTACTGAGCTGCATGTTGGGATCTCCGCAATGCTCCCACGTCTTCCGACGACCCTGGTCGATGGCGGCGAGCGCAGCTGGGGCTTCGCCTTCGCCGAGATCGGCGGACTCCAAAATCGCCCAGATTTCGGCCTCGCCATCGCTCATGGAAGGCACGTCCTAGTAGTCCACCAATGATTATTCCTCACCGTCGACTCGGAAAGATATAACTGCTGAAATTACATCTCCCTGGCCTGACCCCATCGTCGCGTAGCTCTTCGCCTTGAGGCGCTCGCAGTGGGAGATGCCCATGTCTCTGATTGCCGAGGGCGCGGCCTTGTAGGTCTTGTGATCCTTCGTGAGAACCTTGACCACCTGGGCGGAGCGCTCGTTCAGCGAAACGCCCTCTTCCAAGAACATATGTTTCCACTCACCTGGAAGAGGCAATCTCTGCGTGGCCACGCGATCGAAAGTGGTGTCCAAACGAGCACAGTACTCCGTGAATGTCTCACCGTGCGTGCGAGAGTAGTCCAATACACACTCGCGTGCCACTTTGCGTCTCTCGTCGCCGCGTCGCCCTCCAGACATCAACCCAGTCGAGAGATAATCGCATCCCCCCCATGAGATGGTCAGCGTCTCATCATCGATGTCCTCGAGCTGTCGCTGTAGATCCTGGTCAAGAACACGAAACAAACGATTTGTTAGCTTGTATGTGGGATTGTCTGTCCGTCAGCGTTCGCCAGCGATGCACCTTGCGGCGCCACATGCGGCCATCCATCCAGTTCGTCCATTGATCTGGATCAGCCCAGTCCTTGCCGGAGCGCCCCCCTTCCTGTCTGGACTTGCGCATGATGTTAATATCATACTCATAGGGCCCCCAATCGTAAGACGTGCTGCTCAATCTCCAGCCTGCTGATCCTGAGCGACCATCTTCCCTCTCACTCTGACCCCACTTGTTTGACCACAGCTGCCCTGTCGAAGCCGGCGTCCATTTCTGGTTCCAGGTTGACCATGGCCGTTCTGTCATCCAATATGACTCGTGCCACGGGTACCTCGCCGTCTGCCAGCCGCTGTCCCGCCACTGCTCCGACTCGACCTGAAGCGCTTCGGTGGCGGACGCTGCCGCGACACCACCGTGACCTGCGTCAGCACTCGTCGACTGTTCTGAACGAGGATTACGCCATAACGTCCACTGCTCTCCCATCTGAGGCCGTCTGCCGCCAGACTCGTGTTGACCTGTCCATCCGTGGAAGGAGATCTTGACGTCCTCCGTGACGCGTGGGTTCTCTGAGCTCCGCTGCGAGCTTGCAGAACCCCCCGCTCCCACAAAGATGTCCAAGAGAAAACGTGCTAACTTTTGTCTTCGACCTCTTCGACATTGAGACCCTCCTGCTGCAACAATGTATCTGCCACTGCATATACCGCCGCGTGTTTCCCTGGTTTGGCCTGTGAAGATGTCAGATTATCATCCTGCTCCGCTGCTGCCGCCATCAGTCCGCGGAAATCGAAGCTGCTCACAGCTCCGCCACCACTGTCGCCCCACGGACGACAGCGACGAAGTCGGGATGTCGGACGAAACCCTTTTCCTTGGCCGGGCAAACCAATACTCGCATCAGTACACAATGCCCAACACTGCAGTGCACAGCAAGGATCGATATCATCATGGTATGGGAAAGGGGAACGGTGGTAAGAGTAATGAGGAAGTAGTACAGGGTTTGGGTCTTGAGACAAAATGTTTACGACCCAAGCTCGTGACCGCAAGTTCAGGGAAGCTGCTGTGTCATCATTGGCATCAAATGTCGGCCTCTAGCCTCAAATCGCACAATCATCATCAGCATCATCATCATCATCAGCATCATCATCATCATCATCATCATCATCAGCAGCAGCATCATCATCATCATCATCGTCATCCTCATCATCATCAGCAGCAGCATCAACATCATCGTCACCATCATCATACTCATCCTCCTCGGTATGCCCCCCCTCCACCTCATTATCATCGTCATCAACATCATCATCAGCAGCAGCATCATCATAAGCATCACCAGCAGCATCAGCATCATCATCGCCATCATCCTCATCACCATCATCAGCCTCGACATTATCGTCATCACTATCCTCGTCGCCACCACCAGCAACATCATCATTGCAGTCATAACCATCATCATCATGAGCATGATCATCAGCACCAGCAGGACAATCCCTCTTAGCAGCCAATCCTCATCCTCATCATCCTATCATCACCCTCATCCTCATCCTCATCATCAAAGTTGATCATCATTTCCACCTCCTCGTCCCCCCTTCTTCATAACAATCCTCATCCTCATCCGCAGCCTCCTCCTCCTCCTCATCCTCGTCATCATCACCACCGCCATCAACATCATCATCATCATCATCATCAGCAGCAGCAGCATCATCACTATCGTCATCATCATCAGCACCATCATTATCGTATCCATCTTCACCCCCTCCTCTCAACATCGTTACCTCCTTCGCCCCCTCATCATGACCATCGTCATGATACCCTTCGGCGATGTTCCTTCATATCCCTCGTCATTCTCACCCGCCTCGATAAGCTATCCTCGTCTTCGCCCTCCCCACCCTCCCCTTCATCACCGGAGCCTGGCCGTTGAGTCCCGTCAGATTCTGGAGAAAACGGAATCGGTAGGCCCCCTCTGCCCGGCTCACGTTCAACCGCCCGGAAGGGGGGGCAAATAACTTGCCTTTGACCGATCACAGCAGGTGCCGACGACAAACCTCCGTCCGAACTCTGGCATTGCCATCACCTCACCTCCGACCAGAAGCTGTGAGGACGGAACTCTTCACCTTCTTTTCCTCGTCCTCCTCCTCCTCCTCCTCCTCTTCAGAGCTCCTCCTCCTCCTTCTCCTCCTCCTCGGGCCTCATCCTAGCTTCCCCTTCACGGAGCTATTCCTCAACCTCCTCGGATATCATCGCCCTCCTTCCCGTCGGAGTTCCTACTCCAACTCGACCTCCTCCTCCTCCACATCAAAAGGATAATCGGGACTCCTACTTCCATGGCCATGCACCATGCAGCATTACAGGCATGACGACCGTGAGCAACGCGCTTGTATGAACATGTGCGCGCACATTGCAATCTGATGGAAGGACCACCTGCCCAACGAGGGAGGACTAGGAAGTGAGGACGAGGGAGGACGAGGAAGCGAGCTTAGCAGCTTGGCACAGGGCTGGTCCACAGCCCGAATCATGGAAACGACAAGGGAAACGAAAGGACGACAGCTGGCAGCCTCCGAAAACTCTTGGAAGCCAACGTTGACCTCTCATGGAGTCTCCTACTTTACCTCCGCTAAGTTCCACCGAGCTTCTGCCAGCGGAACAGCCCTCGGTGTACTTGCGCTGATTTTCGCCGAGGGCGAGAGGTTCACCCTTCGAGCCCTCGAACAGGACCGACACACATCTGAATAGCGCACGCAGGATCGGACCGAAACTTGAATCGAAGAATCAGATCGGCCAGGCATCGAGGCCCTAAACTTGGCCAGGCCTCTGAGGGGCCACTTGCGAAAGCCATTGGAAGGCCTGGCCAAGCCTGGTGCTGGCGCGTCACTGGCCACTCTCAGGAACTCGATGCGACGCCGCATGCCTTCCGAACCCGCCGGCCTTGAAGGCAATGTGGGCTCACAACTGTTTTTTCATCGCGAAGACAAGGCGAAATACAGCAGCAGTAGTCTGACTGGTGGGGCAACGTCGGCCATACAGGCCGACGAAGAGCCACTCAGCATCGAAGGCAAGGAAAAACCGCCCATCCCTTGTGGTGACTGGCGTGTGAAATCAGTTATTCCCAAACCAAGGCAAATCACCTCATGAAATGCCTAGCTACATCTGCCCGTTTGACAAGTGGACCCGGTTGTCAGATTTGCCACTGACAACAAGGAGGGTTCCAGTCTCCACGAGTGCTCATGTAACAAGAGACCCAAATCGTCGAATGGGTAATCGGCGACAGCAGGGACAGGTCATCTCTGAGCCCAGAATTGCGGCGAGACCTCGGGCGAAGTTGGTTGGACCACCTGGGGCCTGGGGCATCCCCGAACCCACAATTACGCCAATGTCTCGGGCGAAGAGGACTCGGACAACGTGAGGTCAGGACATAGATACATGAACCTGAAGAAGCGAGGAAATCCCAAACGGATGAAAAGTCCCACGGCAGATGCGATCCCAAACATGCGAGGAAACAGGATCGCATAACGTGATGCAAGACGATCGGTAATCCCAAAGTAACAAGGATGCATCTGGCGAAGATAATTGGACGACTTCAGGCCAGGCCATATCCGAGCCCAAAGTTGTGACGAAGAATGGAGCGAAACTGGCTGGACCACCTCAAGTCAGGGTATATATGAGCCCTGAATCGCGAGTATGTATGAGGGGAAGTTGGTTGGACCTCTCGCGTCTCGGAGCCCACAAAACGGGTTGGATCGCCCGAAGACAGCAGCGAGGATGTCTGAAGCGAAACAGGCTGGAACATCTCTCGCGCGGCATCTCAAAGAACACAATTGCAAGGACGTCTCAAGCGAGCTCGGCCAGACCAACTCAAAAGCGGCATCTCGGGGCCCAAAATTGCATAGAAGGCTTCGCCGAAACCGACCGGGACATCCTGTCGCATGGTGTCCCCTAGCTCAAAATCCCACCCGCCTTCTGGGCAGGAAGTGGTTAATCGCGATTCCTTGTCCAGCCCCCTTTTTCCCCTCCAGAGATGGGCTTATCGCTGCTCCTGAATAAAAAATGTCCCCTCGCCCAGTCGACCGACCATTAGACCTTTTCACTGCACCCCCCCACGAGTCCAGCGGAAAACAAGCTGAAAGACCCCCAGGTGGCTCCCCATTGAAAATCCGAAATGCGATGGGACCCGTCGGAACCATGATCATCGTATGGTCATGGCTCTGTAGATAGGAGTCCGAGGTGCAACAGAGAATCAGGAGTCCAGGAGGGGCGACGCTCAGGCCTGGATGTCTCGCTTGAACCCTTCCTGCCATGCTCGGAAAAGCTCGGCGATGGACAAACCTCCCTTTAGTAAACCTCCCTTTAGTGAAAACGGCCTGGGACCGAAACCGACGGACCTAGACCCGCAAAAATGACAGCCGCGACGCCCTCTCGCGAACCGAAAACGGCCAATTCCTTAATCGACGTGTCAGGGTAGGAGATCTGTCCAGTCCCGAAAAGCACCCTGACAAAAAACGAATCCGCCGACCCAATGGGTTCGTCGGCGTGTGAGACGCCCCCCCTCCCCAATTCCATACAGGGCAGTTTGTAATACATCGGATTATTTTGTTTGGTTCGTTTCTTTTTAATATCCGCCGGCCCCCTTGTGGGGCCACCAGGCTGTAGGCTCGTGATTCGCAGTTTCCTGTACCAGTTGTAGTTTCTAGTTTCCAGTGTTACAGTTCTGCTTCTTGCTGGTTACTGTAACTACTTGACTTCTTGCTGGTTACTGTAACTAGTTGATTGACCGCGCGAGGGGGGGGAGGCCCAAACAGGATTTTCCAGCACCCCCTGGGCGCGTTGTCTGAATTGCGGGGGGGGCTCGAAATCAACACCCCTCACGCAGATCCGCGGGGTCAGGGTCCAAAAACACAGGGGATTTGCCACATTTCTGAAATTCGGTGCCACCCCTCACGCAGATCCGCGGGGTCAGGGTCCAAAAACACATAGGGATTTGCCACATTTCTGAAATTCGGTGCCACCCCTCACGCAGATCCGCGGGGTCAGGGTCCAAAAACACAGGGATTTGCCACATTTCTGAAATTCGGTGCCACCCCTCACGCAGATCCGCGGGGTCAGGGTCCAAAAACACATGGGATTTGCCACATTTCTGAAATTCGGTCACGCAGATCCGCGGGGTCAGGGTTCACGCAGATCCGCGGGGTCAGGGTCCAAAAACACATTTGGAAAATTCGGTGCCACCCCTCACGCAGATCCGCGGGGTCAGGGTCCAAAAACACAGGGATTTGCCACATTTCTGAAATTCGGTGCCACCCCTCACGCAGATCCGCGGGGTCAGGGTCCAAAAACACAGGGATTTGCCACATTTCTGAAATTCGGTGCCACCCCTCACGCAGATCCGCGGGGTCAGGGTCCAAAAACACAGGGGATTTGCCACATTTCTGAAATTCGGTGCCACCCCTCACGCAGATCCGCGGGGTCAGGGTCCAAAAACACAGGGGATTTGCCACATTTCTGAAATTCGAACCCATCACGCACATCCATCGCAAGGCGTGGTAACCCAAACTGCGAGAACTCCCTCGGCCCTTTCATCGCAAGGTGTGGTAACCAAGCCCTTAAACCATACACGTCTTACCAATCGCCAGGTGTGGTAACCCCTCTTGTGATCAGTTGGTTTTGCTGATTGCGACTCGGCTTCGCATGAAGTTTCGATACTGCTTCACGACAGCGCCAAGGCCTCATGACTTAGCTCTTCCATGGCCCATTCTCCGAGAGAGGGGGCCGGCGGCAGGGGGCGAAGCCCTTACGGATATAAAAAGGGTTTTCAATACATGATGGATCAATGAATAGATTTATGCATGAAGTCATTGTTGTTTTTAATACTAAACCCACGCATATTTAATTCATGACTCGCACGCGGAGCATGTGTTAAAAACGGCACTGTACTCCGGGAGCCCGGTCCGGTCGATTCGGAGGGAGGCGAGTCTATCCGGGCCGGCCGGGGGGGGGGGACTTTGCTCCAGCAATTCTGCCGAAGGGCCATCGAGGGCCCGAAAACGGGCCAGGAGAACCCCAAGAGACCTCCAAGGCGGTCCAAGAGGGCCCCGAGTCGCAGAAACAGCGTTCCACGACGCACGAAATGGCCTCCAAACGGCCCAGGATGCCTCCAAGGCGCCCCAAGAAGCTTCGAAGAGGCTTACCAAGAGGGCCCCCAGAGCCCTAAAATGTTTGATGTTCATTTGTTGTCTCTCAAGGTTTTGGCTTTTCTCGCCGTTTCGGACATCCAACGCTTCAAGACGCCCCACGAGGCACCCAACACCGCCCCAAGACGGCCCAAGATGCTCCCAGGCGGGCCCCTAGACAGCCCCAGGTGGCCTCAAGACGACCTGAGAGGGCCTCAAGACAGCCTAAGAGCGCTCCAAGGAGGGCCCCAAGAAGGGCCCGAGAAGGGGACCACGAACTGAAAATCCGAGCTCTCCGGCCAAAAAAAGGCCTGCCGGGAGGCCCCAAGAGCTCCCCCAGGGGCCCCAGGAGGCCCCCCAAGGCGCACCCACGATGCCCAAAAGAGGCCACGAGAGGCCCCAAGACAGTCCCCCAGAGGCCTCCAAACTGTCCCCAGAGGCCTCCGAGGGGCTTCTCACGAGATCCCAGCGAACATCCAAGAGGCCTCTGAACCACGACCCCGGGCGCGGTGGCGGGATGGGCCGAAGGCAACTCGGTATAAACACAAGCCTACGTTACGCATCACCCAGCCGCCGCCACAGCGACTCCCCCCATGCCCCCTCTCCACGGAGACTCGGGGGGGAAGAGAGTGGGAGGAAGAGGAAGGAAGGTCTGGAAGGACGATGGGAAACAGGAGAGGATGGGAGCTGTCCGAGTCTCGCGGCATGGTCTCAGAACCATTGTGCGCGCTTCGCGCGCGCTCAGGTTCTAGCGGGCCCCAGGCCTTGACGAGTTCACTGCTCCACTGAAGTAGTTGACCACAGACGGTCTGAACGAGAAGCGAAGGAGTGCCCGTAGCGATGAACGCGTTATGGGCAGTGAGAAGTCCATGCATATCAATCCGCCTTCTGCAGGGCTTTTGGGGAAGATGGTTGCGTAGGGGGTCGGGGGCCTGATGAATCTGGTTCCCAGAAGGCTTGCCGTCGCTCGGACGTCCATTTCCCCTGAATTTTTCAATTTCGTGCGTGTTTCTTTTGCTCGATGGTCCAGGATGGTCTTCGATGGTTCTCGCCAGCAAAAAATGCACACGTCCGAGCGATGCCAAGAAGGCCTTCTGGAAACATGGGCTTTGGGGGCCGTCTTGGGGAGCCTGTTGGGCGTGCCGTCGTCGTCGTCGTCGAAATATCGTCGCCGTCTCTTGGGGCGCGCCGTCGTCGTCGTCGTCGTCGTCGTCGTCGTCGTCGTCGTCGTCGTCGTCGTCGTCGTCGTCGTCGTCGTCGTCGTCGTCGTCGTCGTCGTCGTCGTCGTCGTGGTCGTCGTCGTCGTCGTCGTCGCCCTCGTCGTGGTCGTCGTCGTCGTCGTCGTCGCCCTCGTCTTCGTCGTTTGGTCGTCGTCGTCGTCGTCGGTTCAAGAGGGCACTTTGGGCAACTTTGTGCGAAACGATCCGCGGAGGGCCGCGAGAAGGCGATCGGTCATGTTCCCAGTAAACTTCCCAGGCAACTCTCCGGTAGCGCGATGGTACTTCGGAGCCTCCAGAGACTCTCGGGCCCATGATTTGTTGGGGTGTGGGTGGGCCTCTTGGGCGTTGCCTGGGGGCCCCTTGGGGGCCTTTTGGGGCTTTCTCAGGGCCTTTTGGGGCTTTCTGCCCTCGAAATATCGGTTCGCGGTCCCCATCTGCGCCCCTTCTTGGGGCGCTCGTGGGGCACACTTGGGTTGTCTGGGGAGCCTCCTGGACAGTCTCGAGGCCCTCTTCGGGACCGCTTGGGCTGTCTTGAAGCGATCTGAAGGGCCTCCAAGGCCGTGAGGGAGCGCTGGGAAGCGGAAAAAGCAAGAACGCCAAAATCCTTCAAAAACCCGCTCAAAATCAATGAGTTTTTGCCTCCCAGGGCCCTCTTGGGGGAGCCTCTTGAGTCCGTCGAGGAGCGCGTTGGATGGAGTCCTCGTCGGCCGTCTTGAGGACATCTTGGGCGTCTTCGGGGCCTTTTGGGACCGTCTTGGGCCCTTGTGGGACTCCCTTAGCCTGTCGTGGCCTGTTTCGGGGCGGGCCCCGGCCGTCTCGGGAGCTCTCGGACCCCCCCGGAAACCCCCGGGTACTGGGAGCGGCCCGCCACTCCCCCTGGCCTTTTCTCTCTCTCTCTCTCTCTCTCTCTCTTTCTCTCTGTCTCTCTCTCTCTCTCTCTCTCATTCTCTCTCTCTCTCTCTCTCTCTCTCATTCTCTCTCTCATTCTCTCTCTCTCTCTCTCTCTCTCTCTCTCTCTCTCTCCTACTCATATATCTATTTAGGGCCCTGGATCCCGGAAAATGCCCACCCCACACCCCCACCTAACGAATTTGGCCCACCCCCTGCATTTCGGGCAGCTCCCCAGACGGCCTGGGAGGACCTCACGAGAGCCCGAAGACGGCCCCAGCGCGCTCCCGAAACAACCCCAGAGAGCCCCAAGACGGTCGACGACGACCAAAGGAGCCGTCATACCCCCAAAGATCGCTCCAAAAAAACGTCCCAAGAGGCCTCCAAGAGCACTCCCAGGTGGGCCCCAGCGGGCAAAATGCATTGATTTTCGGGTGGTTTGTGGGAGTTTGGGAGTTCTCCCCTTTTCGGCTTCCCGGCGCTCCAAGATGGCCCACGAGGACCCCAAGATCCCCCTAAAATGGCCCGACAGACCTCCAAGAGGATCACAAGATCGGCCCAAGAGGTTTCCAAACCAGCCCAAGAGGGCCCCGAGGCAGTCCCGACAGGGCCCCAGGAGGCCCCAGGAGGTTCCTAAGAGGCCCCGAAGAGGCCCCAAAAGGCCCCCAAGAGGCCCCCAGGAAGGCGCAAAAGGACCCCAAGAGTCCCAAAAGATCCCGCAAAGACCCAATAGAAATTCAAAAAAGCGCGAAAAGGCCCCCATGACAGGCCCAAAACGGGCCAGGAGCCCGAACATGACCCCAAGACATCCCAACAGAGCCAATACGCGCCCCAAGACGGGCCCAAGCCATAACAGGACTGCACCACGTCCCACAGAGGCAGCTCTGGGAGGCTCCAACAAGGTCCACGTGACGTTAACACTCTCAACGCGAGGCCTCCCAAGAGCGAACGGCGACGCAAATCAACTTCAGCGTCGAGATAATCGAGCCCCGCTGCGACACGGTCCTGAGGCCCTCCAAGGCCCTCACACGGCTCCTTCCAAAATCCCAAAGGCACGGTCATTGGTAAGCCCAGGTCGCAAATCCACACTCTGCCGTGTCCTCCATGCCGCCTCCTACCCAAGTCTTTCAGCACTCGCGAGCCCTTCACTGCATGTCTGCCCCCCCCTCTGTGGCCACGACCGCGTACATGTATGTAGACATGCATATGCGTACATGTAAATATGCCCAAGTAGACATGATACATATGTACATACATACAGGTATGCATGGATCGTATATGGATGCACGAACATGGACCGTATACGTATAAAGATGCACGTTCAACAATACACCTACACGCGTATGTATACATATGTAGTTCTACACATATTTGTCTATATATATATATACGGCGTGCGTGCACGCTCGCGCGTAGGACAGGTATGTACATTTTCGCGCGCGCGCGCATGTGCGCGTACACGCACGCCGCCCGCGTGCGAAACTCGAAGGACCAAGGTGCATGGCGCGAAGCGTCACTGCAGTCTTGTACATAAAATATGTTTGGGTCCTTCAGCTGCCTCCAGGCTGTGCGCTGCACATGCCACCCGCGCTCGCCTTGTAGCAACCCCAGAGAACGCCAGACTCTGGAGAGGACGCGGGGTACAGGCCCTGCCATTCGAAACGATGCCAGGTCTTCACTTTCGTCAAGTTCGTCACCCACCGGACCTGCTTTGCAATACGCAATACCGCATGTCCAGCCTCGGCAACACGTGCAGTTTCGGGGTCCAGGTCGTGGTCGGGATGAGGGCGTAGCCACCGAGGAAGTCGGTCCCGCTGTACACCTCGCAGGGGGCGTGGCTCGGGTGGGACGACAACCAGTGCTCCAAAGCGAACCGGTCAAGCAAGCCCGAGCTCCCAGGGGTGGTGGTTCGACGTCAGCGGCGGCGCAGCCCCCGAAAGCAGCGTCACCCTCTCCATGGCCGCCTGAAAGTTGGAGGGCGGGAAGCGGGATACGTACTCGCACCTGGTCAGTCACACGTTCCGGGGGTAGTGATGGTGCGGCAGCGGGCTGAAGCGGGAGGCTCACGCGCTGCACGCCTGGTGCATGTGGTGACATTCGACGGACCAGACACCCTCCGTCAAGAAGCGCCTGAGGGCCTCGTTCTGCAGCGTGTTGTGGAATGACCCCTTGCTGTGCATGTACAACACTCGCTTGGAGGGGTTTGTGTGCAGTGGTCGAAGGCATGCTGCAGGGTGTTGACTTCGTCCCCTGCGTTCTTATGCTCGAGCTGGTAGCACGTCGGGCACTCAAGCAGCGCGGGGATGCTGCTGCGGCTGGGACCTATGACAAGTAGTATAACGTGACGCCGTCGCCGAAAGCAGCGGAGGACTTAACAACAAACATCTGCTCCCTGACAATGGAAGCTGTCAGATCCGCATGCCCTGCCACGACGGACTGATAGACGTGGTAGAAGACTGTCAGCGGGGCTGGCCTCGCTTTCGGCGAGAACTGGCCGACAAAGAGGAAGCTACCCTCCTCAGTCACTCTCTCCTGTAGAGGCCTCCCAGATGGGCTCGGAGTAGTTTGGGTCGGAGGATCGCGCCACATCGCCGATGCAGCGGCGATGCCTCGGCGATGCGTCGGCGATGCAGTTGTGATGCACCGGCGACGTCGACGGTGCATCGGCGGCGTCGGCGTGAAGCATATCGGGCTCCGCGTCGAGCCGCGGCGGCGATGCGTCGGCGATGCGGCGCGATCCTCCGACCCCGTCTGCTCCGACCCCGTCCAGGCGGCCTGGATTTAAGTCGGGCCTGTCCCCCTACAGGGGGATTTTCGACGAAAAATAGAAAATACCCTTAAAATGATGTTTTTTTAAGTCCAAAAATAGTCTGGGGACTATTTTTGGTGTATTTTGTTGGCCTTCTTGGGGCACTTTTGGGGTATCTTTTATTTTCCGTCGAAGCTCCCCCTGCAGGGGGACACGCCCGACAGAAGCCTGGCTCCTGGCCCTCTGCTGCAGCGGGGCTCGACGCTGGCGCGGCGTAGCGGCGGCCACGAGCGCCTCGCGGAGTGGCCGCCAGGCGCCCGCCGCGCGGTCGGAGACCTGCGCCGCATGCCCCCCGCGAGCGGGCCGGCACGGCGCCTGGATCGCCACACGCCGCCACCGCGGGCCCGTGCGGCGGGCGCGGCGAGGACGGGGAGTGCCCCCACGGAATCCACTCCTCCTCCTCCTCCTCCTCCTCCTCCTCCTCCTCCTCCTCCTCCTCCTCCTCCTCCTCCTCCTCCTCCTCCTCCTCCTCCTCCTCCTCCTCCTCCTCCTCCTCCTCCTCCTCCTCCTCCTCCTCCTCCTCCTCCTCCTCCTCCTCCTCCTCCTCCTCCTCCTCCTCCTCCTCCTCCTCCTCCTCCTCCTCCTGGTGTCGGCGGGGCCTCGACGGCCCCCGTCGGCACCAGGAATCCAATTCGGTCGACTCGAGGGTGGCTCGAGCGCGAGCCAGAGGCTACGGACAGCGCCGCGCACGCGCGCGCGCTCGGCTACCACCATAGAAACCACACGGATGGAGGGCGGTACCTTTTTCACAGTGTCTCGCGCCAGATAACCCCTCTACTGTAGTCATTGCGCGTGCGCTTCGCGCGTATTTCAGTTCTAGCTGGCGTGGGGTCGACGGAGTCGTTGGTCATCTTGCAGCCCCTGTGGACGCTCTATGGCCTCCCCCAGGGGCGCCATGCCACGGAGTCGCTTCGAACTGGAGGTCCCAGAATTCGTCGTCAAACAACTAACGAATGCCTCAAAAAGAAAACTACCTGAAACATACGGGAGCGGTCTCTGTGCACGCGCTGTGCGCGCGCAAGGCTGAGCGACACTTGCCTGGTCGGTCGCCAGCTGAGCGAAAAGCTCAGGTGGTGTGGGACTGGCCAGGCGGAGGAGGAGGAACCAAAGGCCCCCGGGGACTAAGCGTACACCAGGAAATCTGGCGTGGGTGTTTGCGCGGTAGACGCTACGGCGCCCGATGTGCCGTAGCGCAACATGGAGTGCAGTAGGCAGGGTGGTATCGAAAGACTTTTTGCGCATGGGAGGACGGATGAGAGAGGAGGGAAGAGCGATGACAACAGCAGGAAAAGGTAAAGTGGCCGGCCCAGAATGGACGGTTCAGTCAGGAACTTTCTCGGACTGCTGAAGGCAATCTGGAGGGCTCAAGGAACGCGTGAAAATATGAAACAGGGAGTCTGAGAGCCCCGCGGGACGTGTGAGGGGACGCGAGAGAAGATGGTTTGGAGACGTGCCGAAGGGCCCATGAGGGGCCTCTCGAAGCCGTTTTGGGGTCCCTTTCGGACCCTCTGGGGTTGTCGTTGGGCCCTCTTCGGCCATCTTCAGCTCGGCGGGGCCCTCCTAGGGCCTCTCGAGGCCTTTTCAGGTGTATTTCGAAGCTATCTTGGAGACATCTTGGCGCCCCCTTGGGCCGTCTTGGGACTCCCTTGGGCCGATTGGGGATCCACTTGGGCAGTCTTGGGGCTGGCTGGAAGCCCTTGTGGGGCCCTTTTGGGTAATCTTGGAGGCCTCTCAGGCTGTCTTGGATGCTCGCGACACCAAAACAGCAACAACGCTTAAATGAATCAGAACCCTGCGGTTGGGAGCTCTCTTGGGCCGCTCTGGGGGCGTACTGAGAGCTTCTTGTTGCCACTTGAGGCCTTTCAGGGCGACGCAAATCGTTTCTGAGTCCTCTTGGCCATCCTGACAGCCACCTGAAGCCATCTTGGAGCCATCTTGAACCATCCAGGGGTCGTCTTGACGCCATCTGGGCCCCCGGGCCCCCCTGGCTACCCCTTGGGTGAAAGGCTGTCGACGCCCCCGGGGCCTCTCCCCTGTACCCCCGGAAAGATATCAATCCATGTATGTATATGTACACATGCGCAGAAATACACATGCGTACGTACATGCATGCATACATGCATGTGCATACTTACATACACACATGTAGGTTATAGATATATACATGCATGCATGCATGCATCCATGTGTATGTGTAGATATATGGTCGCCCCCTGTGATCCTACATTATCCTCCGCATACTCGACCGCGTATTCTCCGTACTATATATGTCTCTCTCTTCCGATCCCTCTCTCTCTACATGTATATGTATATGTAAATGTGTATATATATGTATGTGTATATATAGATATATGTATATGTATACCGTCTCACGCTACCCCATTGAAAAAATGCAGTGTGTTTCACAGCTGTTCCACCTTTCCAACACACCACCCCATTGAAAAAAGCTGTGTTTCCAACTGTTCCAGCTGTTCCAACTTTTCCCAGAAACTACCCCATTGAAAAACGCTGTGTTCCAGCTGTCCCAGCTTTTCCCAGAGACTACCCATTGAAACACATTGTGCTCTTCAACTTTCCCAGCTTTTCCAACTTTTCCCAGGGACTACCCCATTGACAAACTCCCAGACACTAATCAAATTGAAAAACGCCCAATTGAACAACGCTGCGTTTTCCAGCATTTCCCAACTTTTCCCAGACACTACGCTGCTGCGTAGTCAGTGGGAAAAGCTGGAAAAGATGGATAACACATCGTTGTTCAAAGGGGAAATCTCTGGGAAAAGCTGGAACAGCTGGAAAACACAGCGTGGTTCAATGGGGTAGCGTCTGGGAAAAAAAGCTAAAACAAAAGGACAAGCGTGAAAACACATCGTTTGTGGGACAAGCTGGGAAAGCTGGGAACACACATGGCTTTTCAATAATGGGGTAGTCTCTGGGGAAAGCTGGAAAAGCTGGAGAACACAACGTTTTTCAATAGGGTGGTCTCCAGAAGCTGGAAAAGCTGGAAACACAGCGTGTTTCAATGGGGTAGTCTCTGGGAAAAGCTGGACAAGCTGGAAAACACAACGTTTTTCAATGGGGTGGTCTCTGGGAAAAACAGGAAAAGCTGGAAACACACAACTGTTTTCAATGCCCCCCTCCCCCCATCTCCCCTCCTCACCTCTCTCTCTCTCTCTCTCTTTGTCTCTCTCTCTCTCTCTCTCTTTATCTCTCTCTCTCTCTCTCTCTCCCTCTCTCACTCTCCCCCCCTACTTTTATTATATGGTTTTGTTTTCTCTCTCTCTCTCTCGCTCTCTCTATCTCTGTCCCTCTCTCACAACCGGAGTTCTCTGGAAAGCACCACAAAGGAATTCCATCGGAAAGCCTCGCACCAAAAATCCGTTGGAAAACACAACAAAAGGATACGATTGGAAAGCCTCACAACAGGAGTACGTCGGAAAGCACAACGAAAAGGATTCGATTGGAAATCCTCGCAATCGGAATCCTTTGGAAAGCACCACAAAGAGTGGGCATGCCGATTGGAAAGCGTCACAAAAAGAATCCTTTGGAAAGCTCCAAAACAGGATTTGACTGAAAGCCTCACAAACGGAATCCCTGTGAGGGGGGCTCACACAGAGATTCCAGTTGTGGGGCTTTCCAATACTATCCCTTTGTGGCACTTTCCAATGGCATCCTGCTGTGATGCTTTCCAATGGAATTCCTTTGTGGTGCTTTCCAAAGGACTCCTATTGTGAGGCTTTCCCATGGAATTCCTTTGTTGCGCTTTCCAAAAGATTCCGATTGCGTGAGAGAGAGGGAAGAGAGAGAGAGAGGAGATGAAACAAGAAATGGAGGGAATTAAAGTGCAATGGAATTGGAAATGCTTGGCAAAACTTCACAACCGGAATCCTTCGGAAACACCACAGAGCATTTCTATTGGAAAGCCTCACAACAGGAATCCTTTGGAAACCACCACAAAGGAATTCCATTGGAAAGCCTCACAACATGATTCCTTTGGAAAACGCCAGAAAAGGGATTCTATGGAAAGCCTGACAAAAGGAATCCGTTGTAAAGATCCACATAAGGAATATATTCGAAATCCTCTCAATCGGAATCCTTTGGAATGCACCACAACCGGAGGACAGGGAGGAGAAGGAGAATGAGAATGAGGAGAGTAGGGAGAGGGAAGAGGAGGAGAATAAGGAGGATAAAGAGAGGGCGGAAGAGGATAAGAGAGGAGGCAACATGTATGATCACAGGGGGCAAGCTATAAACAGATACCTATATATAATATCTCTCTCTGCCTCCCTCTCTCTCTCTCTCCCTCTCTCTCTCTCTCTCGCTCCCTCCCTTTCCGACCTGTTCGTTCTCGCATTCCGCCTCGCTCTCCCTCCCCTCCCTGCCTCCCTGTCCCTCAATCTCTCTGCCGCTCCGCCGCTACCCCAGTCCCTGCCACAGCCTCAGTCTTAGCCCCCACCTCTGTCTCCCACTCCTGCACTGCATTCATGTACGTGCCCTCCCGGCGCTCGCCCAGCCCTCTGTACAGTCGCGACCGAAGACAGATGACACCCGAGAGGATGCAAGACTCTTCTCGGCGGTGGACAAGCCTCCCTTTAGTAAATCTCCCCTTGGTGACAACGGCATGGGACCGAAACCGACGGACCCGGACCCGCAGAAATGACGGCCTGCGACGCCCTCTCGCGAACCGAAAACGGCCCATTCCTTCACCGACGTGTCAGGGCAGAAGCTCCGTCCACCTCCGACCTTCCGAGGTCACAAGCAGGCCAGAGGATGTACGGTTCGCGAGGCTGGTGACTACCTACCAGACCACCCCAACCCAACCCGAAGGCCCGAATTTCGGGTTCCATACGTGTTTTTTCGATGTTTCCCGAACCCCCCCCCACTGGAAATCGAGGGAAAATATTAGCCTTCGGGTTGGGTTGGGGTGGTTTGGTGGGTGGTGAGCTGGGGGTCGAGGGGGCGTGAGGGCACCCGTGCAGGGCCGACTAGCTCACACGACGGCCACCGCGGGGCCTCCCTGGCCGAGGCAGCAGCGGCCTTCCACGCCGTGCCAGGGCTCGGCCGGCCGACGGGGCCCACCGAAACCCCAACCGGTGCACGAGGCCGCTGCCGCCGTCGACCGTGACGTCCCCCACCCGGCGCGGGGGGCCGGCGCGCTTCTGGGAGCTCTTGACGAACTTCTTGAGCCCGGCGATGAGGTCACCTCGCTGGGGCCCCGGGCGCCCCGCAGATAAGGCGGCACTTGCTGCGCGCGGCTCCGATGAGGCTGCGCACTCCGCAGAACCCACCGCGCCATCCTCCGGGCCTCCGAGCCTGGGATTGCTCCACGTCAAGCACTTTGGGCACCGACCTCCCAGGGCATCGGGAGGCCGCTGGTACGAATATCGTCGGGCCCCAGGGGGCCCGAAAATGTCCACATCCACTGCTGCCCAGGGCCCTGGAGTTCCCAGGGGGGGATATAGGTAAATCCTGGCCTCGGACGACCGAGGACAGGAGGAGAAGAAGGGAGATCCACGGGATCTCGTGGAGTGAACGAGAGGATATCAATAAATTTTGGCACGTTCAGGCTCAGGTTGCCAAAAGACGCCCAACACGGCCTCAAGACGACCCAAGAAGCTTCCAAGACGTCCCAAGAGAGCCCCGACCCTTTCCAAGAGAGCCCCAAGAGGCCAAAATTATTGATTTCCATTGGGTTTTTCAAGGTGTTTGGCTTCCTCGCCTTTTCGCGTTTCCGACGTTCGAAGACGGCCCAAGAAGCCTCCAAGACCACCCCAAGACGGCCCAAGAGGCCTCCAAGAGAGCCCCAAGACCGCCCAAGAGGGCCCCACGACAGCCCAAGAGGCGCCCAAGACGGTCCAATAGAACCCCAAGAGGGCCCCAAGAGGGGCCCAACATGGAGACCACGAACCGAGAATCCGAGCCTTCCGCTCCAAGAGGCCTCCTGGAGGCTCAAAGAGGCCCCCAAGAGGCCCCAAAAGGCGAAAAAGGGGCCCGAAAGAGACCCCAAGAGGCTCGACAACGACTCCCGAGAGTCTCCAAGAAGCCCTCGAGAGGCATCCAACGAGATCCCAATGAACGTCCACGAAGCCTCAGAGCGCCAAAACCATTGAGTTCCATTTGGTTTCCTCAAGGTTTTTGGCTTCCTCGGCTCTTCGCCTTTCCGATGCTCCAAGACGGCCCAAGAAGGTTCCAAGACCACCCCAAGACGGCCCAAGAGACCTAAAAGAAAGGCCCACGACCGTCCAAGAGAGCCCCACGACAGCCCAAAAGGCGCCCAAGATGGTCCAATACGACCCCAAGAAGGCCCCAAGAGAGACCACGAACCGAAAATCCGAGCCTTCCGCTCCAAGAGGCCTCCTGGACGCCCCAAGAGGCCCCTAAGAGGCCCCAACAAGCGACAAGGGGCCCGAATAATGCAAAAAGGAAACTGCTGAATGTTGTCTTGTTCCCTGCGATCGTATTCACAAGCCGCCACCTTCCGAAACAGAAGGTTAAGGCGGGCAAAGAATGGTTCCCGCCTGCGAAATCACCCAAAGCCAGCCAGCCATAAACAAAAAAACGACCCAGCAGCACCCCATTGACAACGAGCACACGGGCACTCGACAGCCGTGAACCAATACAGGCCGGCGGAATGAGCGAAGCGATTAAATAAGTTTTGGCACGTTCAGGCTCAGGTTGCCAAAGACAGAGATATTCGGGGGTCCTGTTGGGCGTTTCTCGGTAGAGCTGTGGCGTCCAAGGGGTGGAAGAGACGAAACAGAGATGCCAGCCAATTGTTGCAAAAGGTGGGCGCCCCTTGGCGCCGAACCAGAGGTGTCCAGAGTTCTCTGGAGGGAGAAGGGAAGAGAACACACGCGATGCTTGCAGGAGACGAGGTTACGACTCAGATTGACGAAAGTGTCCCGCGCTCGTGCGAGATCACAGTTCTGAGCCGAAAACGATGCTAGCGCCAAAGCGGAAGCACCTATCAAGCCATGCTGAGCCAGAGCTGAGGCCCGCCAGGCCACAGGCAGACCGCCCATCTTTCCACCACCAGCACGCGACGAGTGACTCCGCTGCGATCACATTGCATGCTTACTGGGTTGTTCCTGCTGGCCCGCCTCATCGAACGCGGCCCGAAATCCAAACGTAGAATGCTGTACATACCAGACTCTGCGCTGCAGTATGCTTGGCAACACATCGGGATGTATCACATCGGCACGACAACAAAAAACGCATCGGACTCTGGACTGCAATTGGCTTGACAGGCCAGCGACACGACAAAAAACGCAACGGACTCTGAACTGCCATATGCTTGCCAGGCTGGCTTCCACCTCCTGCCACTGCACAAAACCGCCATCAGGCCCCATTATACGATGGGGCGCGGTATTATGCAGACTGCTGTCTGCCAGGGTTTCTGCAAGTTCCCTCACTGCGCCCTGGTGCGCGCACCGCCCATCCCCCTCCCTGCATGATGCAAGGCTTTTGGGCGGCCCGACGCCTCCATAGCGGTTTCTCAAGGCTCTCAGATGTCTGCGATGGCAACCGGCCCACGGAAGTATCCAAACTGCGCTTGAGGATATCGAAGACGAGAAACAGAAACATTCATGGATGGGTGCTGTCTCGTACGTGTTTCGGCTGACTGTGGCCTCTGGAACGCCCAACAAGGTCTCAAGACGGCCCCAATGGCCCAGAAAACCTTCAAAACGGCCCAGGAAAACCACAAGAGGGCTCAAGAGTGCCTCTGGAAGGGCCCCAAACGGCTGCACCCGCACCACAAGAGGACCACCTTAGTGCGCCCAAGCGAAGATGATCCAGAAGACCACCCCGATGACGTCAAGACACCTTGGGAGTTTCCTGAAACGCTCTCAGGGAGACATCAACAAAAAAACAGGAGACCAGCGGAAACAACTTAACAGCAAGACGGCCTGCACATGCTTGCCAGCGCGAACCCCAGACAGCGTTGTTGTGGCAAACTATACTGTGCAATGCGAGTAATGCTGTCGATGCTGTGCAAAAAAAAAAAACAAAAAAAAAAAAAAAAAAAAAAAAAAAAAAAAAAAAAAAAAAAAAAAAAAAAAAAAAAAAAAAAAAAAAACATGCTGTATGTGGTACAGCCAGTACTGTGCAACATGTGTTGTGTAACCTACGTAGTGGAAACCATGTTCTGAACAATCAGAAACGCGCCGCAAGTGCAAAGCAAAACAAAACAACGTGCAATATATGTGTTGCAATACATGTGGATCAGTCCGTGCTTCCGTTCTTCCGCACATCCGTGTTCAAAGCCCACGGGACTGCGGCGCTGGGACCCCGCAGGGACACTGGAAAGGCGCTTCGGCCTTCCGCGAAGTCAAATGTCTTCGGAACGAGAAAGCTCTCGACTGCCGCACGGAGCGAGGGGCGCACCCCTCCACTCACCTGTGGGCCCTTTCACTAGGCGAGCCCGAACCTGCAAAACTTCACGACTCCGAGAGGATGCGCTTTGCGCGGCCCTTCTGCCGCCCGTTGCTGGCAGCGGGCTGCTCTGGTCACCCTGGGCACGCTCTGCACAGTCCGTCCGTCTTCTTCCTGGCGTGGGCACCACGCATGACGCGCGCGAGGTCGCCGTGCGCCTGCCTCACCGAGTGGAACTTCTCCGCGGCCCTCTCGCCGCCCGCCAGGGTAGTCGGCCTGCGCGGCGCCCGCAAAAGCCGCGGCTGCACTCCCATCACCGACGCCTGCCCAGGCTCGGAGCCACCGCCCCCTGCCACCTCGGCCCCCTCTGGGACTGCGCCTGCTAGGCCGTCCGCGGCACTGCGCGCCTGCGCAGTGCGGGGACCCACCTCGCTCGCGGCTGCCGGTGCTTGTCCCCCGCCGCCACTGAGTACCCAGGCGCGCCTTTTCTTCGGCTGCCCGCGCCAAGGCGCGACTCTTGCGCCCCCCCACCCTCGCGCGGCTGCGAGCCCCCAACTGCCCCGAGTCCGCCGCTGCCGCGGCAGCTGCCGCGAGGGCCACGCCGACGGAAAGCTCCGCGCGCGCGCTCGCCGGGTCGACGCATTCCCCCTCGATCGGCGGGGCCCGTCGGCTCGCCAACGTCGTCACTCAGCATCTCCAGCTCGTACAAGTCGTCTCGCAGCCGGTCCACTTCTTCCTCTGCGAGGCCCATCTCGTCGCCCGGCGCCGACCAGGCGCGATTTTTTCGCCAGGCGCAGTCTCCCCAAGCGCGGCGGCGCCTCCAACCTCGGCTTCTTAACCTCCCTGGGCGGCCTGCTCACTGGGCGGTAGCCAGTCCACGGTCTCGTCGATCTTGGAAGTGACTCGGAGGGTCGAGGAAGCGCCGCAGCGCCCCTCTGGAACCGCCCGGCCGCGCGCGCCTGCGGCCCTGACTGTTGCTCGCCGAGCTCCATCTGTCGACCGCGGGGCCCTCCGCGGAGGGCGCCGAACTGCTCCGCGGGCCGACGGGCCTGCCCGCGGGCCGACTGGCACAGCCTCCACCCGAGCTGGGCCTGCCATGCCCTCCTCGGGCGCCCCTTGCTCGATGTCCCGGTCGCCGCGCTCGTCGCTGGAATTGGTCGCGAAGGAGCCCCGGTTACTCGGCGCCCTCCCCCCCCCCTGTCGCCGCTGGCCTCTGGAACCCCCCCTGGCCCAGCAGCCCGTCGGTCTCGTCGCCGCCCGGCCTCCTCGGCGATCGGGGGCGCTCTCGAGCCAGCGCGTTTAGCAACGCGACGCCAACAGGCGGTTGCCCTTCAGGCGGGCGCTCGCCTGCCACCAGCCCCACTAGGTAGATCCGCGCGATCCCCTCGCGGGCCTGCAGGGGCTCCAACTCGCGGAGGTAACCCTCGCCATCCAACCTCTCCAGCTCGGCCCTGCAAAGCCCTCGCCGCGCGCTGGGCCCCTGCCGCGCGGCGCGGCAGACCTCGGTCGCGATGGTCAGCGGTTCGCGCTGCCCCGGCGCCCTGCCCAGGACGACGCTGCATCCTGCTCTCCTCTGGTCGTCTTGTCTTCTCCAGGGCATGGCTGCTCAAGGGCCGCGGCAGAGGTGCTTCCTGAAGCCTTCCGCGCAAGCTTGCCTCCCGCGCGCCCCGCGCCAGACACCTTTGACCGCGGCCTCCAGATCGCGCGACGCCAGATCTAACGGCAGCGCCTGGCAGGCGTCTCGCCGGCGACACGGCCGCTGTCGGCCGCCCCCGGGCGCCGCCCCAGGAATCGACCAGCCCGCGCCGCCGGCCGAGGTTGAGGTTGCGCAGGGCCCACGCGACTTGCTCGCTGGCCCCCTTTGACAGCCTGCTCGCGCCAATAGCCGGCATCTCCGTCGGCGGCCAGCTTAGCAAGACGGCCCGCCCCGCGATTGCCACGAGCCGCGCGCCGCTCTACCAGCCGCGATCGCCTCTCGGCTGCGATGCGCCCCGCAGCGCGCAGCGCGCCCAGAGGGCAAGTCGCGGTCCACAACAAACCAAATCGCGCGCCACGCGTCGGCGCCGCGCCCGCCCTCCGCGCATTCCCAGCGCTATCGCCGGGTTGTCCGCGTAGACCACGAAAGACTCCGTCGCGCCCATCGCCTCCGCCCTGGCGCGGCGCGCACGGGAAGGCCCGCGGCTCCGCGCGCTCGACGGCGCGCTGAGCGGGCGAGGTCACTGGCGAAACGCCCCGCGCACTGGCGCACCCCTGCCCGCCAGGGCCAACTGACGCCGACCAGCCCATAGCATCTCAACGCCGCCTCTTCCAGGGCCCACCTCGGGCACGTCGAGGCCACCTCCGAAGCCGACGGCGCCTTCTTCAATCTCCCCTCCTGCCGCTGGCGCCTTCGGGCGCCGCCCATGGCGGGGGCGCCCCGCTGGGGCCTCACTCTCGGATTCAAAATGCTAGCGGACGCGCTCCTCCACCGCCTCGAAGGCCCAGGCCGCCGCCGCGCGCCCGGCGAGGCCCCTCGCATTCATGATGCCGATGGCGCGGCGCGCAGACGTCATTGCCGCGCGCCTGACGCAGCGGCGAGCCGGGCCTGCCGATCTCGTGGAACCCCCCTGCGCCCGCGGCCCGCGACGCACCGCCTGGCGCGCGGCATTGGCCGCGCGCATCCCCGCTGGCTGGCGGGGGCCCCGCCTCAGCTCGGCCGCCGAGAGCCAGCGGCGGCCGCGGCGCAATCTGGGCCAGGGCGGGCTTCGAGGCGCAGCGGGCCCGGAACTCCCGCCCCAGGTCCTCCCGAAACATCGCCCGGGCGCCCATCGGGCGAACCTCCGCCAAACCCGCCTCGCTCAGCCCGCGCGCGGCAGGTGCCCCACGCGGGCCAGGGCCAGCCCGCGCGCTGGAGCGACTTCGCACGCGCGCCCGCCAGCCCGCGCGCCGCCGCCCAACCGCCCCCCATGCCGACCTCTCTCTCTGCCGTCTACGCCACGCCTGGGCGAGCACCGCTGGCGCAAGCGACCGCCCCCAGGCCGCCATGGCCTAAGCCGCCACGGGCGCGGCCGACACATCTTAGATGGGTCGCCGTTGCAGCCCTCGGCGGCCAGCAGCAGGGCGGGGGGCGCGCCGCCCGGCTTGCTGCGCAGCGACCGCGCCGCTACTCTAAAGGAAGACACATTGATGCCAGCGCGGAGAACAGAAGCCACTCCACTCGCCATCCTCTTGCCCTGGCCGCGCAGGTTGGCCCGCCTGCTGGAGCGGCGCTGCAGGCCTCTCATCCCCTGCGCGCGTTTGCCCTTGCCAGCCTTCCTGGACACGCGCATGCCGACGCCAAGGTAGACCCCCGCCCCCTGAACCTCGATTCATTGTCTCGCCATACCTGGTTTGAGCGCGCCGCGGAGCCGTGGCGCGCTGGCCAGCTGGCAGCGCGTGTCCCCCGTTCCCAGGGATAAGGCCAGGTCCGCGCTGGCGAACTGCACCATGGCCGCTGCCGCGTCTTCAGGCGCGTCGTCGACCAGAGCCCTCTGCCGCCTCCGTTGATGCGCACGCACGTCGTCGATGTAGCGTTTCCAATCGACCCATGGGCAGCGCGCTGCGAGGAGGCCCATCCCTCCCATGAGCAGCATCCTTAGCAAGGCGACCGAGTACCTGCCGCCCGCAACGAGGGCCATTTGCGCCCCCACCTTGGCCGCGCAGCAGCCCTCGACCACTCGAGCGCGAGCCACGGCGAACGATGACATTACCGCTGCCGCGATGGACGGCGGGATGCTCCAGCGCAGGCCAGCTCCCCAAAAGCCATGAGCACCTTCTCGAAGGCTTCGATCGGGTCCATGGTGGCTGCGAAGACAGCTTCGAGATCAGGGTCGTCCGAACGAGGGCCCGCCGCCTCATGCGCGACCAGGACCTCCCGCGCCGCCATCTCAGGCCCCCCCCCGCCCATGCTCGGCGCGGGCCCACTCTCGCGGGTGCCCACGGCACCACTGCTGCAAGCAGGGCGCCCGAAGCTTCTCCCAGATCCTCACCGACGCGGGCATCAGCCCGATGGTACTGTCTTTAGTGGCCGACCTGGGAATGGCGAAGACTACGATTCGGTCCGCTCGGCGCGGCCGCACCAAGGTCCGCTCTGTCTCCTCCAGCGCGCTGGGCGCGGCCTGGACGCCGCCGCCTGAAACCCCGCCCGGCCGGGGAGGGTGCCAGCTGTCCACCCCCAGCCCCGCGCGCATCTTGAAGCGCATGGCCAGGTCTCACAGCGCTGCTGGCTCTGGGCGGTGAGCCGCGGCCGCTTCCCGCTGCGATGGCTGGTCAACCTGCCACACCTGCGCCCGCTCCCCCGGCGCCGCTGCCACCACCTGCGCCGGCGCTGCCGACGCGGCCGGGGCGGCCGCTCGCCCCGGCGGCCAGACAAGGGGCAAGCTTGCAGAAGCGGTGCAGGAATCCGGTAGCTCCTTCCGCCGCCTCCGCCAGCTCGTCGCGCCAGGAGGCGGCGCGCTCGGCCCTGGCCGCCTCCTCGGCCGTCGGCCTGGGCACCTGCCTCTGCGGCCCATTGTTCCAAGAGAAACGGGTTCAGAGAACAAGTGCATATACATGTACATACATACATACATACATACATACATGCATACATACATACATACATACATACATACATACATACATGCATGCATGCATGCATGCATACATACATACATACATACATACATACATACATACATACATACATACATACAGACAGGCAGGCAGGCAGACAGACAGACAGGCAGACAGACAGACAGACAGACATGCATACATACATACACACATGCCTACATACCTACCTACATACATACATACATGCATACACACATGCATACATGCATGCATGCATGCATGCATACATACATGCATACATACATACAGACATACATACATACATACATACATATACATATATAAATGTGTGTGCAACGATGTATACATGCATATATATATACATAATTATATATATACATACAAACCTACAAACATAGATAGATGTATATATGTGATCATCGTGCTATCTATTACCGACAATGTGTGGCACAAGTCCGCGACAACTAGGACGGGACTGCGTCCGAGAACCAGCGACCGCGCGCAGGGCGCCCGGTCGCTCACCTCGAGCCCTGCCGCCTCGGAGGGGCTGCGCACGTGGCCCCACGCCTCGCACCGCTGACGGAGCGAGCCGAGCCTGGGGCCCGCTCGGGGGCGCGCCGCTCCAAACGACGCGGCTGCCGAGGACTCCACGCCAGGGCTGGACCTACGAGTTGTCTGTTCGTTCAGCTGTTCGTTCTGCTGTTCGTTCGGCCCTGCCCGTTCTCCTGCGCCTCCCCGCCAACACGAAACGCAAGACACGGCCGAAGTCCGGCAAAACAGCGTTTGCGTTTGGGTCCAGCCCTGCTCCACGCTCGTCGCCGCGCGAGCGGCCCGGCAGGATGCGCGCAGGCGAAGCGCCTCTTCAGCGCAGAGGTCTCCGAGGAGCCTGCTCCGCAGTTCGGCAGGGGGCTGCGTGTGAAGCGTGGGAGGGCGTCAGTCAACTGTCCAGGAGGCTTGGGGTCGGTATGCAAAATGATCGGGCAAACTTGGCTGGAAGAGGGGTCAAGCAAAGAGAGACACAACGCCAGAAACAACCGAGACGCGGGCACGTCGCAAGCTCCAAAGAAACCCAGAACGACGATAGGGCCAACCTGCAATAACCGAGCGTACACGAAGAACCTGAGGTTGGAGAAAGAGGGTGCAAGCGAAGCCAAACATACTTGTCTGACAAACTCGCGCCCCCAACTCCGTAAACGCATGGACTGGTGTTTCACAAGACGTGCCAGGAGAAGGAATCAAAAGGCGAGCAGAGGAGACAAGGAAGACGAACGGGGCGAAACAGGCCAAGCGTGAGTGCCAAACAGGACTGTCTGACAAACTGAAGAGGAGGGCTAGAAAAGAATGGGTCGATGGAGGTATGGGCTCCCGTGCCACTGGTCGACATCCCCTCTCTTCTCTAGGTGTCGATCCACAGAGCTGTCACGGGGCGTGCCGAACTCTGACTAGGATTCCTAGGCGGATCGAGCCGCGGCGGTGTGAATCGCCATGGAAGCCCCAGACGAACGAAGCACACAGCATCCTGTTTGTCTCACTCCGCGTCCCCTCCTCGTTCAGCCCTTGCCCCCGCACGCACCTCTGACTGTGCAGCAAATGCAGCCGTTGTTCATCTCCACTATGTTCTCCTTCAGGCGCGCTGATCGCTGCCACCCAAAAGGAGGGGAAGATCATGATGCAGCCAAGCTGCACCTGGACGACTATCTGGCCTCGACGCCTCCTCCGACTCTTGCCAAGCCTGTATCAATTATGACAACGAACGCTCCTTTATCTGATACGAGGACCAATCCATTTACCGATGAAACCAGATCAATTCCGTCGTCCTTCTCTTCCTCATCCTCCCCCCTTTCTTGCGCTGGCTGAGGGGGGAGGGGCACACTGTCGCGCCTGCAGCGTCGGGCATGCACTGCAGTAGACACGAGCCGACGCGAGGCAGGGGAGAGCACAAGATACAATGGCATGAGCATGGGCAGCATGATGGTGACCTTAGAGACGGGGGAGGCTGCAGGAGGATCCTCCCACCCTCCCCTTCCTCCCTCCGATTGCCGAGACAGGCGGCAAAAGGACAAAACCACGGTCCCCCTCACGTGGGAATCTTCGGCGGCCTGTCGACAGCACCACTGCTGCGCACAGAGGCCGTGTGAGCTGCCCGTGCCGCGAAGCGGTTCGAACTCCGACAGCTGCTCGGGTACTGTGAAGCACCCGAGAAGCGCGACCTGCTCAGGCTCTGCAAGATGGACCGATGCTACGATGCCAGCGAGCGCGGGCTGACGCTCGGCCTCCACCCCGCGACGCGGTCGTGCAGCATCGACGCGCTGGTCCAGACGGGAGCGGAGTGGAAGCAGGGGCGAGCGCCATCGACCCACATGGAGAGGGAGCTGCGGGCGCGGGTGGGAGAGCCTTCACGCGCGAAAATAAGAATAGTGATCATCGCGGCCACGGGAACGCCAAGCCCGCACCCCTCGGCATGCACTGCCTTCATGCCTGACCCCCCCCTGAGAGGTGGTCTGCACCTTGGGGGAGGACGAGCGGCTGTCTCTACGACACCAAGCGGCGGTGATCATGGTACGACTGACAAAATGTGTGGGGATGCTTCCACACTCAGACTGGGCTGCAAGACGGAGTGGGCGTTCAGTTCTTGAATGCCGTAAGCCAGATGCCGACTACATCGAGACCCCCCACTCTTTCGACAAACCCCTATTCTATCCCGATGCTCGGGACACCTTCCGCCTCGCCTGCCGCTCCGAGGGCGACTACTGCTCCGAAGGCCTCTACGCAATCCTCCGCGCCTACTGATCCGAGGCCCTCTGCTCCTGCGGCTCCCTCGACCACTGCTACGAGGCACTCCACTGTTTCCACCACGCCTAAGGCTCCGAAGCCTTCGACTCCTACGGCCCCCTTACCGCTACGAGACCCCCTAGGGTGCCGAGGCCCTCGACTCCTTCCTCCACGCCTACTTCTCCGAAGCATTCGAACCCGACGGCCCCCTCGACCGATCCGAGACCCTCTGCGAGGCCGCCGACCCCAGGACCGGGGCTCCGACGACTTCTGAGTGGAGAGGTAGGCGCTCTGAGGCTCCTGATTCAGCCTGTGCTAGCGGGTATTCAAAAATCGTAACACCTCACTGGGAACACGATTTGTTGAACCTCTACAGCAGCGCACACATCGCCAGAGAGAGTTTCGAATGAGGAATTCGACCGAGGAGTAGATCACCCCATCCCCCCTCCTCAGAGGCCCTCTGGGCCTCCTGTGCCCTTGGGTCGTTCCCCTTCGCTGTCGTGTCGCCCTCCCCTACTCCTTGCTGGGACCCGTTCTGGGTAATGCGTTCCCTCGGCCGTCCTCGGGGAGAGGCGCTAGCTTTCGGCGATGCTCTGGGAATCCTCTCGCCTGGCGGTTTGGTAGCCCCCCTGCGTTGGTTTCATCCGAACCTGTCGCAACAACACGAAACAAACACGACAAACGGTTCTCTGGAGTTCCGTTCCGTTCCGTCCCTCCTCCTCCTCCTCCTACTCCTCTCCCCTCCTTCCCTCCCTCCACATCGCCATCCCCCCCCCCTTCCAACAGAGTGGCTCATTTCCGCTCCCTGGCGCCGCCGATGGCTGAGGAGACGGGCGCAAGGGAAAATGAGCCCAGCACTGGCATTCAAGGAAACGAGAGCACATTCAGCATACAGAAAAAGGCCCATCTGCAGCTGCTTAACCAACACCTGACCCGCTGCTCACGATCCAACCTCTGACTTAATCCTGTCCAATTTGCTCCGCCGCGTCCAGCCGTGGGCGACGAGAAGGTTACTTGGGAAATCAAGCAAGAGTACGACAATGATGAGAAGGGGCATGGGAAATAGAAGGGGGCGGCGCATGTTGGTTGTTGTCGGAGGTCTGGTTGGCCCTTGCCTGATCTCTCGCGCCCCCCCACCCCCGACAAGAAGGAGGCGGAAGCCGTACTTGAGCGGGGGCAGAGGCTGAAGGACGGATGGAACGGAGGCAACAAGGCGAAGGGGGGCGAGGAGGGCGTGCTGTTCTGGTGTCACGTTGGCGTTGGGAAAGTAGCGTGTCGCACCGATCTCCGACAAGCACGCTATCCCTGCGAGGCGACCCCCCCGCGAATGTCCCCTCTGTGCTCGCGTTTATCTTGCCAGGGCTTCTTCGGCGCACGCCATCCCCAAAGTGCGGCTAGCATGGAACGAGCGAGCCCGCGGCGTCACATCGCGCGCTAGTGTTACAACGCCAACCGTGTGTAGCATCCAAGGGGGGGGTGAGGGATCTAGCGGGTTCCAAGTGCCGTGGACGTGCGGGGAGGTCCAACGCCGACCCACGAAATCATCGTGGGCATGCGAAAACGCATGGCCGTAGTGTAATAATGTCTCCTACCTCCCTCTCAACCATGGTGCCATGGGGCGGTGACGGAGGGGCGGGCTGATGCATCCTCTCGATATGGTTCATTACTCCTGGCAGGTTACGCATGGGTGCGCATCAACAGCAGCGCAGCTAGAAACAGCGGTCTCATCACACCATGATCATCTGAAGCAGCACCATTGCAAACCATATTCACGAACGCTGTCCTCTCCATCATCAGCATCATCGACGGCGCCATCCTCACCATCATGAGCATCTACGCAGCACCTTAATAACCCATCACCAGCATGGTGATCCTCCTCCCTCCCTGATCATCTTGCCTCGTCCACCTCCTCCTATTCCTCATTACCCTCCTCTCCCTCCTCCTCACCCTCCTCATCCATAAAATCACCATCATCATTATCAGCTTCATCATCATCATCATCATCATCATCATCATCATCAGCATCATCATCAGCATCATCATCAGCAGCATCATCATCATCATCAGCAGCACCGGCATCGTCAGTAGCATACTCATCATCAGCGTCATCGACAACATCATGATCATCAAAATCCACATCATCATCAACATCAGCATCGTCAGCATCATCATCATCATGATCATCAGCATCATCATCATCATCATCATCACTAGCATGAGCATGACACGTATCATCCTCATCCCCTATCCCCATCTCCGAAGGATTCACCGTCTTCATCGTGATCACCATGATCAGCAGCATCAACACCACCAACAACAGCACCACCATCGTCATCATCACAATCATCATCATCATCATCATCATCATCATCATCATCATCATCATCATCATCATCATCATCATCATCATCATCATCATCATCATCATATCATCGTCAGCATCATCATCATCAGCATCATCATCATCACCATCAGCTTCATCATCATCACCATCATCATCAGCATCATCAGCATCGCCAGCATCATTGCTATAAGGATCATGATACGTAGCATCCCCATCCCCTATGTTCATCTCCGTCATCTTCACCATCATCATCGTCATCATCACCAGCATAAGCAGAATCAGCAGCATCAGCAACATCAGCATCGTCGTCGTTATTGGCATCGTCATCATCAGCACCAGCTTCATAAAATGCATAAACATCATCAGCAGCGTCATCAGCACAATCAGCATCGTCATCATGCTCCTCATCCTCCTCCTCCTCGTCATCATCATCACTATGATCATGATCATCAGCATCGTCGTCATCGTCATCGTCATCGTCAACGCCATCACCATCGCCGTCATCATCATCATCATCATCATCATCATCATCATCATCATCATCATCCTCATGAGCAGCATCATCAACATCATCAGCAGCAACAGCATCATCAACATCACCATCCCTCATGCTCCACTTCGTCCTCCAAGTCCTCTTTCCGCCCCAGGCGGCAGATGCGAACGACTGCAGCAGATGCGAAGGGCCAGCCATGTCCTCAGTGGTCATCCTGCTGTCGATGAGCCCGTCATCGATGCCAACCTGTGCCCCAGGAGCCACTGCAGAAGGCGAAAACGTAAAAGGGGAGAGGAGTGAACGAACGCGCAGGAGAGGAGGGTGGAGAGGAGGGGGTCAGGAGATTTGGGGCGAGGTACAGATGGCAAGAGGGGGGGGCAACTGACAAGCACAAGGACCAGCGGAAGGAACAACAGTCGGATACCGAGCGTGGGCTGCCTTCGCCCCGTCCTCCAGTCCTTTGCCGTATAAATAATTCCTCCCTGTCGCACCCCGAGGCCAATCGAAAGGGCGGGCCACGCGTTTCGCGTGAGACTTCCTCACCACTCATGACCCTGATGCTTCAATATTGGCAACAGCTTCACAGATGGAGGCGGGCCGCTTCCACGATGTGATTCTCGCCTTAGCGCCGCGCACATTCGGTTTAAACATGTGGAAGAGCGTCGTGGATTGAAAGCGGGCCGTTTTCAAATGTGGCTCTTGCCTTAGCGCAGCGCACATTCGTTTCAACCATTTGGAAGAGCCTCGCGGATTAAAAGGCGGGCCGTTTTCAAACTGTGGTTCTTGCCTTAGCGCTGCGCACGTTCGTTTCGTGTGAAAAAAGAAAGTGCTTCACGGATAAAGAGCAGGTGGGGTTCAAAAGATGGCTCTCACCTTAGCGCCGCGCACACTCGTTCTGAACATTTGCAACGATCTCACGGGTTGAAGGCGGGGCGTTTTTTCTAATGTGATTCTCGCGTTAGCGACGCGCACATTCATTCACAACACTTGCAAGAGTCAGTGCCACGGATTCACAGCGCTGCGTTTTGATAATGTGGCTCTCGTCTCAGCGCCGCGCACGTTCGCTTCGTTTAAAAAAATGAAAGTGCGTCCCGGATTAAGAGCGGGTGGAGTTCAAAAGATGGCTCTCACCTTAGTGCCGCGCATACTCTTTTTGAACATTTGCGACAATCTCACGGATTGAAGGCGGGGCGTTTTTCTAATGTGACTCTCGCGTTAGCGACGCGCACTTTCCTTTTCAACATTTGCAAGAGTCAGTGTCACGGATTCGCGATAATGTGGCTCTCGCCTTAGCGCCAAGCACACTCGTTTTCAATATTCGTAGAAGCCTCGCATATGGAGGGCGGGCCGATTCTTTATGTGGCGTTCACCTTAGCGCCGCGCACATTCGTTTTAAGCGTTGACAGGAATTCCTTGAGGGAGGTTCGTTTTCAAAATGTGGCTCTCGCCTTAGCGCCGAGATCCCAACAGTTGCAACAGTTGCACTGCTTTCCATGACTAACGTACCAGCAATGGTGCTTGGGACGGACTCAGGATTGCCAGGGCGCAATAGTTTCGTTGATTCGCGGTGTTGAAGTCCCAGGTGAGGGTTCTGACACGAGTCTGCATCGCCAAGACGTAAGACTCAGGTGGTCTCGTGGGGTTGAAGTCCTTGGAATGGTGCTTGGCACGCTTCAAGATGTTCACGCGGTTGTCCCCCAACGGGGCAGAGCCCTCAGTGGCAATGACCACCTTGTAGGGGGTCTATGCAGAAGGATCTTGGAGGGAGGGTGTATTTCAGCATCGTTGATGAGTCTTGGGTTTACTCTGGTCCTGCTCCTCCTCCTCCTCCTCCTCCTCCTCCTCCTCCTCCTCCTCCTCCTCCTCCTCCTCCTCCTCCTCCTCCTTTCCCTCCTTCCCCTTTTCCTCCTCCTCCTCCTCCGCCGCCTCCTTCACATCACCCTCCCCATCCCCCGATTCCGCTCCCTCCCCCGATCCTGCTCCTCCTCCTCCTCCTCCTCCTCCTCCTCCTCCTCCTCCTCCTCCTCGATCGGTCCTGCGCCGCCGATCCGAAGACGGGCTCCCGGAGGGAAGGAAGCCTGGCGGAGCGCTCGCCGCGGACGGCCCCCGCCCTCAAAGGGGGCGGGCAGGCACCCACACCATCGAGGCACGGCCGCACGAACGCGGGGCAAGAGAGCGTGAGCCCATCCCCCCAGCGGGTTCGTGGGGCGCACTGGCCGACCTGCGAACGATCCCACCCCCGTCCCCAGGCTCCCCACGATCCGACCCCCCTCCCCGGCGGCGTGGCCGGGGCCGCACTGGCCGAGCTACCCCGCTGGAGAGGGGGAGACAGGCCGTGCCCCTCGGGTTTCGAGGGGGCCGGGGTGGCGACTGGGTGGGGGTCTCGAGGGGGAGGGGGATGGGGACGGGTGTCGGTGAAACGATACCGATACTGCACCCACTCGCCCTGTGCCCATCACAGGGGGCAGACACACTTGCAGGGGCCCTGGGACACACAAATAAATACACACAGATAACCGGATTCCCCATCTTTCTCCATAGTTTCTGGGTTTTTGTCTTCTCCCCTACTTCCCATAGTTTCCCAGATGCTCTGGGGAATCGTCGACTCATTGTGTCTGTGTGTGTGTTCCTTGCCCCCCGGAGACACGGTCCGCGCCCGCGCCCTCGCGACGTGGACAGAGGGCGCGCGCCCGCGGACGCGCGGCCGCACGGATGCGTTCCATTCGCACGGGGCCTCTGCGCAGCGTTTGCCCCGCGCCCGCGGGGTCGCGGCCCCGGGGGGGGGGGGGGCTGGGCCCTGCCCGCCCCGGCCGCGGACGCGGACGCGCTTCGGGCCCGAGCCCGGCGTGCTCCCTGCGGAGAGGCCCAGGTCGAAGGCCATTCCCAGGGCGGGGGGTCACATTTTTTCTGGCGGCGGGGGGGGGTCGCAGCGCCAGCGGTCGCCAGCGCGTCCGAATGGCTGGCGGGGCGCGCCGCGCTGTCGGCGCCGCGGGAGGTGGAGCGGAGGCGGGCGGCCGCAGAGGAGAGAGAAGCAGGGAGGAGAGCCCGAGCACGAAGAGAAGAACATGAGGCACCCCCTCCAATGCCAGGGCTACTCTTGGCCCTCGTGCCAGCTGTGCGCAGATCCAGCGCTGCCCTGGACCCTGGGGGGCACGTCCTCTAACTGGCGGATATGGCTACAGCCCCGGGCGTCGAGCCACTGGCGGGGACGCGCTAGGAGCAACAGTTGGCCTGCGCGCGGGGGACAAGGGGCGCGGAGCCCGACCCAGGGAAGAAGGAAGGGGATGTCGAAAGATCAACAAAAAACACACCAGTGGGAGGCGGGAGGAGGGAGGAGGGAAGAGGGAGGAGGGAGAAGGCAGGAGGGAGGAGGCAGGAGGCAGAAGGGAGGAGGGAGGAGGGAGGGGGGAGGAGGGAGGAGGGAGGGAGGGAGGAGGAGGGGGGAGGGAGGCGGCCTGTTCCCTGCGAGGCCCTGGCCGCCCGAGGCAGGCCCGCGGAGGGTGCTCCGGGCTTGCACGCCCGCTTCGGCCTCGGCGCCGCCGCGCCGCGTCGGGGCGGCGCGGAGCGAGCCCGTGCGCGCCCGCACGCGTCTGACGAGCCTGGCGGGCTCCGGGCACCACCTCCCGGGCAGAGGTGCGGCCACAGTCGTGAAAACCAGCCCGTATGGCACACTAGACACCGCGGCACGATCAAACTGGGCACTCCCGCCTCCTCCTCCTCCTCCTCCTCCTCCTCCTCCTCCTCCTCCTCCTCCTCTTCCTCCTCCTCCTGCTGCTCCTTTCCTCGTTTCCTCCGTCCCTCCCTCCCTCCCTCCCTCCCCTCCTCCTCCACACCTCCTCTCCTCCTCTTTCTCCTCCTCCTCCTCGGCCTCCTCCTCCTCCTCCTCCTCCTCCTCCTCCTCCTCCTCCTCCTCCTCCTTCCTTCTCCTCCTCTCCTCCTCCTCCTCCTCCTCCTACTCCTCCTCCTCCCTTCTACACCCTCCTCCTCATCTTCCTCCCTCCTCCTCCTCCCCTCCTCCTCCTCCTCCTCCGACTCCTTCTGCTCCGCAATGCTCCTCTTCCTCCTATTATTATGATTCCTCATATTCCTTCTCTTCCTCCTCTTCCTGCTCCTCCTCCTCCTCCTCCTCCTCCTCCTCCTCCTCTTCCTCCTTCTTCTCCTCCTCCTCTTCCTCTTCCTGCTCCTCCTCCTGCTCCCCCGCCTCCGCCTCCGCCTCCGCCTCCTCCTCCTCCTCCTCCCTCCTCCTCCTCCTCCTCCTCCTCCTCCTCCTCCTCCTCCTCCTCCTCCTCCTCTCCTCCTCCTCCTCCTCCTCCTCCTCCTCCCCCTTATCCTCCTCCTCCTCCGCCTCCGCCTCCTCCTCCCACTCCTCCCCCCCATCCCCGTCCTCCTCCTCCTCCTTCTTCTTCTCCCCTTCTCTTCCTCACCCCGAAAAGTGCCCGCACCACCTCTCCGAACTCGTTCTCGATGATCCCTATTCGCTTGCCATGCTGATCCTTGAGTATCCTTGCGGGCAAAGAGACGGGATCTTGGAGGAGGGGGGCAGGAATCAAAGGCACGAGTGGAAGCGAGGAGCGAAGAGGAGGGTGGAGGGAGGGGCGAGGAGGGGGAGGAGGCAGGAAGGCGGGGGGAGGGAGGGAGGGGGGAGGGGGGCGAAAGGGGGGGAAGACACGGGGGAGGGCGGCGCACCTCTCTGGAAACCGCTGCACGCGGACGCCCGTCCTCATCTCCGTCGCCACCCCCCGCGGCGGCGCCTGCTGCCGCCTCTGCCACCCCGGGAGCCCAGGCTCCTCACGAGCCCCGCCCGCCCAAAGGCGCGACGCCCCGCGCAGGAGGAACGCGAGCCCCCGCACCGAACGAAGGGCGCAAGGGTAGGAAGGCACCAACCATACACCAGCACCGATCCTGGCCAGGATCACCCTGGGCCCAGGATCGGTGTATACGCCCTCCTGCCTTGGGCAAGGAGGCATATACACCGATCATGGGCCCAGGGTGATCCTGGGCCAGGATCGGTGTTGGTGTATAGTTGGTGCCCTCCGAAAGGGGACCACGAGGCGCCGCGCCCGAGAAGAAGGCCCCCTGGCGGCGTACGGTCGGACTTCATCGGACGGGACACGCGAGAGGACAGAAGACCCCTCCGAGAGCCACACATCGCCCTAGGAATGCAGGAGGCATGGGCCGCGAGACACAGGACACAGGGGCACCCTTGAGCTGGCAGGGTCGACCCACGAATCCGGGCCGACCGCAAGAGGAATCGCGAGCTTCCGTGCGACCCGGGCAGCGCCGCGCAGGCTCCGGACGAGCACGGCCCTCCGCACCTGGACGGCCGGGCGGGAGCGCAGGAGGAGCGCGAGCCTCCGCACCCCTGGCAGGCCGCTGCCCCCAGGCGCCCATCTTCGCACACTCGGCTGCGGACTGCTCGCCCAGCCTTTTGCGGAAACTGCGCTTGTGGATGCCATGACAATGGGCACTCTAACAATCCTATCCTTGAAGTAACGATGTGTTCAAACTGTGGAAAACAAGCAACAAACAAACATGTTCCACCAGCGTTTCAAACATGTGTTTCATATTTAAAGCATGTTTGACATATGTTCTAGACATTTGGAAATTGTGTGACAGCACGCTTCCTCTCCATTGATCGACTTCCACAAAACTACGCTTGAAGGCGCGGATGTCCTCGTCATCCTCGGGTTCGTCGCGCTCCCACGGCGGGACGACCTCGCCCTCCCCCATCTTCTCGAGCGCCTGGGCGGCCGCCGTGGGCACCTCGAAGCAGCCCACGCTGTGCGGCATTGCGCCCGTCGAGGCGTCCGTGCCGTCCGCGACGCTCTTCACCCAGCCATCGCTAACCGTGTTGGCCGAGGGGCCCGACAGCGCTAACTTCAGCACGCCGATGTCCTTCTGCACTGCCTGGAGCGCAGCCTGCATGGCCAGGAAGATCATGTCGCTCGGCTGGGAACCCCCACCCTCCTCGTGCGAGTACCCGGGCTGGACGCTCTTCTCCATGGCCACGTCCACGCCCTCGGTGGCCATGCTGACCCGGGGTGCCATTCTCATCGGCAGGTCCAGGACACGCACGCCGAGATCGTGCAGTGCGTCCTTGATGCCCGACTGGAATTTCCCATCCTTGTGGGCAACCCCGTTCCGAATCTTAGAGAACTTCCCCAGGCGGCTCGCAAGATCAGGACACCCTGCCTCTCGAAGCCTCTCCTACGCCTGGGTCACGCCCTTCACGCCCGTGTCCGACAAGATGTACTGCATGCCGCCGAAGACCTACACAGCCTGCGCGGCACCAGCTTCTCCTCGTCCGCCTCCATCATCATGAGTGCGGATCGCCCCAGCCCCAGCGCAAGCTGCGGCCTGGGTTGCGCCACTCGCTGCCGCCGCAATCGCCGTGGTCGTCCGCCGGGCCGAAGGTCATCGCCGGCGCCGCACCGAAGGCCGCCTGAGCGAGTGGCAACCCTGTCATCCGCGCGCACAGGGATCGTGACATCCCATGCCGCTGAAATGCCACGCCCGGGCGGCCCGCCGCGGTCTGCCCAGCGCCCGCTGAACATAAGCGAAACGTGGCTACGGCGGGGGGAGGGGGGCAGAAGGAGGCAGGAGGAAGGGGGGAGGAGGAAACAGAAGGGAGGAAACAGAGGAAGGGGGGAGGGGGGAACAGAAGGGAGGAAACAGAAGGGAGGCAGAAGGGAGGCAGGAGGCAGGAGGAAGGCAGGAGAAGGGAGAAGGCTTGTAAGACATTTGGCTGTCCCCCTCCCCTTTCCCCCAACCAAGGTCCAAAATGGCGTTTGAGGGGGGAGGGGTCCCCGGGCTCACCGACGCACCCTGGGGCCCTCCAAACCTGCAAATCCACCCTCCTTGGCCGCCGAAATCAAAAGATTCTTTCTACGATGGCTCCAGACGAGCTCCAAGACGCCAGAGGCCCAAGAGTCTCAAGAAGGCCGAATATGCCAAAAGAAAGCGCCAAGAGGACCCCCCCCGAGGACCTCACGGGGCAAATCATATGGATTGCCCAAGTCGTCGTCGCATGACTTTCGCGTTCTCGGCTTTCTGGCGTCTGGACGGCCCAAGAGGCCCCCAGACTGGCCCAAGCTGGCCCAGGAGACCCTCAAAACGGCCCGGAGACAGCCAAGGAGGGCCACAAGACGGCCCCAAGAGGCTCCCAAGACGGCAGCAGAAAATTGAATGTGGCGTCAAGAGAGGCCCAAGAGAGGCCCCCGGGGGAACCCGAAGAGGCCGTTGGAGCCCTCCCCCAGAAGATGGTCCCCAAGACCCGCAAGTGGCTCTCAAGTGAGACCCCCCAAAGGCCGCCAATAATCCCCAAAGACACCCCCAAGCTGCACGAAAGGGGGCCCCATAACAGAATCCGGGCAACACTACAAACCGCCCCGTTGTCCTCGATGTACTCCTCCTTTTCCTCCTTCCTCTCGCCGCCATCGCTATCTATGTAATCCTCTTCCTCCACCTCCCTCTTTCTCCGAATCCCAAGATGAGAAGATGATATCGACCATCTGCGACGTCACTCTGGAAACATCGCGCAGCATGCGCGACGCGCAACATGTGTCAGTATTCCCTCCAGGCAATGCAAGATAAGTGAGCCCCATGCGTGGAAAGGAGACTGCCCGGCGGCTACTCCTCCCGCGCAACCACACACCTGATCACCTGAAGGCATCCCGTGCGCGCGACGGCGTCCAAGAAACAGCCAGCAGGCGCCCAGAAAACTCTGACGAGGCTTCAAGATGTCCACCAAGACGCCCACAAAGCCTAACTTCGTCGGCGTAAGCCTCTTGGATAAGAGGAGGAGGGAGGATGAAGAAGGGAGGAGGGAGAAAGAGGCAGGGGGAAGAGGGTGACGAGGAGGGCAAGGATGGTGAAGGGGTGAAAGGAGGGTGAAAGAAGGATGACGAACAAGGATGAAGAAAAGCGAGAAAAGAGGAGGAGGGAGGATCGGGGAGGGAGCCAGAGGGCTACCACAAACACAGGACAACTAATAAATTGACAAAACCAGACTCGACGCAAGGGGAATATGAGCAACGGAATCACAAGCTGCTCGCAAATAAAGGGTAACACGCTGCTTCCCTTCTTCTTTATATCCTCCCACGCCTCCTCCTCCTCCGCCACATTCTCCCACCTCCTGCTCCTCCTCCTGCTTCCCCAGCTTGTCCTAGGCCCCCCATTTCCTCCACCCCCCCTGCACCTCCTCCTCGTTATCATCATCATCATCATCATCATCATCATCATCATCATCATCATCATCATCATCATCATCATCATCATCATCATCATCATCAGCATCATCATCATCAACAACAACATCATCATCAGCATCATCATTACCAGCAGCATCATCATCATCACCATCATCATCTCCACCACCAGCATCCGCGTCCTCATCCTCATCCTCCTCCTCCTCAACATAATCATCATATTCATCTTCGTCATCCTCATCATCATCATCATCATCATCATCATCATCATCATCATCAGCATCATCATAATCATCATCAGCAGCAGCAGCATCAGCATCATCATCTGCATAATCATCATCAGCAGCATAACCAGCATCAACATCATCATGAGCATCAGTAGCAGCATCGGCATCATAATCAGCATCCGCATCAACGTCAGCATCATCGTCATCGCCATATAAGCATCAGCATCATCAGCATCAGCAACACCAGCACCGTCATCAGCGTCATCATCATGATTAGCATGTTCAGCATCATCGTCAGCACCGTTAGCAGCATCGTCATCAGCATCAGCATCGCCATCACAACCACCACCACCATCCTCAACAAAATGATCCTCAACCTCATCATGATCACTATCCTCATCCTCATCCCCATCAACAGCAACATCAGAATCGTCACCATCACCAACATCAACATCATCAGCATCGTCGGCATCATCACCGCCATCATCGTCATCATCAAATGATCATCATCATCACCACCATCATCATCATCATCGTCGTCATCATGACCAACAACATCAGCATCATCAGAATCAGCAGCATCGTCAGCATCAGCACCAGCAGTAACATCATCAGCATCAGCATCATTATCACCCGCATCATCCGCATCATTCGCATGCTCATCATCACACGCAGCATCATCACCCTCCTCCTCATCATCAGCATAAACATACTCATCATCATCACCATCACCATCACCATCATTAGCATCACCATCATCACACGAATAATAAGAACAATCATCATCATCATCATCATCATCGTCATCAGCATCATCACCATCACCATCACCAACACCATCACCATCACCATCACCATCACCATCATCGCCGTCATCATCATCAGCAGCATCATCAGCATCATCCTCGTCATCAGCATCACCATCACCATCGCCATCGTTCTCGGTGTATGTCCTGTATCGTCCTGGAGAAACTTACTTACCATTCGATCAGAACCCCTCGTAAATATAGCCATCACCGTACCGTAGGCATCGAGTGGCGTGTCCGAAGGTCCCTGGGAGGAGGGGGGCTAAATTCAGGAATGAATGTGCTGTAAACCAAGACGACCCGAGAGGTGGCCAAGAAGGCAACAAGATGACCTAAGATGGCCCACAGACGGGCCAAGAAGCCCCCAAAGACGGCCCCAAGGCCCAAGAGGAGGAACTAGAACTTAGAGACAGTTCGAGCTGCCCCCCTCCAAGGTGACCTCCGATGCCGCCAAGGCCCCCAAGAGCCCCCCACAGGCCCAGTAGACCCCCAGATGGCCTCCAAGAACAACCCAGAGGTTCCAGAGAGGCCCCCAGGAGGCACCAAGGAGCCCCTACCAACAAGCTTCCAAGAGGCCACCCAGGGTAAAGCCAAGAGACTCCCACACGCATGCAACAAGCCCCTGGCCCACGATAAAGCCAAACTAAGTTCTGTCCGAGGTAGGCGAACGTTTGTTTCAGGGCAACCGCTTCGCGGACGAACACGCGGAGAGGGGAACCAAGCTGTGCGCGCATCCATTCTTGCAGCGTCAGGCCTAAACAGCAGAAGTGTAGTGCGGTAGCCGATGCGTTGGAGTCTGCTGTAAGACGTAGTGCGATGCCGTCCGAGATCGTCGATGCGACTTCTGATGCGGACAACGGGAGTAGCGCCGTTGGCACCTCCGAGCCAGGCCGCCGAGTCGATCCCTGCTCCTCCTCTGACGCCTCCTCCTCCTCCTCCTCTTGCGGGCCCCAGGGGCCCTCTCGCCTCCCGGCTCCATCCCCAGACTCCGAGAGGGCCGTCGGTTGCTGAACATGTGGAACTCGATGCCCGAGAAGCCCGCGTCATCAAGGCACACGCGCCGGGACATCACCGCGTGTTCCGACCAACGCTTGTAGTTTGGCGATGCGCTTCCGACGCTCAGTGCAAGTGGACGACCCTTGGGTTGTAAGCCCGCCCGAGCTCGGACGGCCAAGGGTCGACGGACGCGTCTGTGGGAGGGCCGTCGCCCAACCTCGGGAATGCCCATGTGACGTTAGCACGGCGAAGCAGTCGGGTCCTGTTACTGCCTGCAGTGCTCAGACCTGGACAGCATTCACCCCTCCTCCTCCTCCTTCTCCTGATCCTCCTGACCCTCCTCATCCGCCTCATCCTCCCTATCCTCCTGAATCCCTCCTCCCCCCATGACACACTCTCCTTCCCAATGTTTTCCTCCGTCTCCCGCGCGCCCAGGAGGCGCGCGCGGGGGGAGACGCGGGGTGGGATGTGATCGGACTCGGCCCTGCGCGTCGGGGAGACGGGAACTGCACGCACCCCGATGCATCACTCTACCTCGAACAGCAGTGTGCCCACGCGGGCGGGGGGCAAGGGCTCCCCACTTCGCGCTTCGCGCTGCGAGAAGCGCTAAGCGCGAAAAACTTCGCGATCTCGCGCCGCCTCCCAGGGGAGAAGAGGAGGATGAGGAGGAATCGGAGCCGAACCGCGAAGCGCGAAGCGCGAAGAACTTCGCGCCCTCGAGGGCGCCCGTGGGGAGGAGGCAGGAGAGAGAGGAGCTCCGGAGGTCAGCGTTCGCTGCAGACGGGGAGGCCCAGCTCCCGCCTGTGGCGGGTGGGGCACGCGAGGCTGCCGCGCGGGCCGCTCGACAGGGACAGGAGCCCTGAACAGCACGAGGAGGAGCAGGAAGGTCGAGCTCACTGACTTGCTCGACTTACACTGTTTCGGCCACGGTCAAAGCTACCTCACGTCAAGGTACTTTCGGCCGACCCCGTGGTGCCTGCCTTGTTGCCTCACCCGTCCGTGCGGACGGTGAGGCGCTGCCCTCTGACCGCCTGCAGCAGCAGGCCCAGCTGACGCTTCGGGTGTGCGCGCCCAGTAGCCTGCCGAAAAAAAAGGATCAGAAGCGAGGGAGGACAGGCGGGGTCACGGCGGCCCTGAAGACAGAAAGGGTCCAAAAGCGCGGAAACACTTGACTCCTCGGAGCGCGGAAACACTTGACTCCTCGGACCTCAAGGAGGAGGGGAGGAGGGGGAGGTGAGGAGAGGGAGGAGGAGCGGGGGAAGAAGAGGGAGGAGAAAGGGACGGAGAGGGAGCAGGGGTGAGGAGAGGAAGGAGGAGGGGGAGGGAGGAAGAGAAAGAGGAGGGAGGAGAGGGAGAAGGGAGGAGGGGATGGCGGAGAGGGAAAAAGAAAAGGAGGAGGAGGGGGAGGCCTCCACCTCCTCTTCTACCCTCGCCGAGGGACGGCCTGTTCAGCAGGGTCGTCTTCCCAGAGCCCAGGAAGCCCGTTATAACAGTCACGGGGACCTCTCACGGGCGGAAATGAAGACAAAAACGACGACAATAACGACGATGACGATTACGACGACGACGAAGACGGCGATTACGACCACGCCGACGACGACGACGACGACGACGACCACGACAACGACGGCGACCACGACGACGACAACGACGAAGACCATGACGACGACCACGATCACGACCACGACGACGACGACCACCACGACGACAACGACGACGACGACGACGACGACGACGACGACGACGACGACGACGGCGGCGGCGGCGGCGACAACGAAAGCAGCGGAAGCGGCGGCGGCGGCGAGTGGCACCGGCGAGACGCCGGCGCCGGGGAGCGAGGAGCGATGCCACAAGCTCCCGAAAGCATAAGGCAACAAGATGCTCGCCGCTTTTTGTCCGTAGTTGCCACAAGTGTCCCTGGCCAATTTGTGACTACCTACCAGACCACCCCAACCCAACCCGAAGACCCGAATTTCGGGTTGGGGGGGGTAAGGGTTCCACATGTGTTTTTTCGATGTTTCCCGACCCCCCCCCACTGGAAATCGAGGGTAAATTTGAGCCTTCGGGTTGGGTTGGGGTGGTTTGGTGGGTGGTGAATTTGGGAGCCCCTGGGGTCCTTTTGGACGTCGTGAAGGGTGCTCTGGAGGCCGCGGGGGCCTCCTTAAACATCCTGGGGGCACCCCTGGCCAGGGGCAGTCTTCTGGCAGTGCCCGTTTTTCCAGCGTCCAGAAGCCGCTCACGGGCTGAACTACTGACCCTTGAAAATAACAGCATGAATGGGCATCGGCTTCGGGTCGGGAAAACGGGTCGAATCGGAATGCGCATCGAATCAAGCAATCTGCATCGGCACGGGATCCAAATCGAATCGGACCAGCTACGCAAGGAAGGACAACAGCGCCACCCCAGCGCTGGGCCGCATCGGATCGCCAGAATACCCGAATCGGACCGGGCTGGTCAAGCTCGACAGCGAGCCGGATCGATCATCGTATCGACACGGATCCTGAAGAACCGGTCGGGGTCGGGACATCGCAGATCCTGAGATGGGGAGGAGGCGCTGGACCTCCGACGCCTCCTTCTCCTCCTCCTCCTCCTCCTCCTCCTCCTCCTCCTCCTCCTCCTCGAAAAAATTAACAAATGTTCGGCGCCCCGACGCCGCGTTGACCCGCTCTGGGGCCGCCGACCAAGACGACGGTGTCGCGACGTCTGGGGGGGGGGGGCCCAAACACTTCTCAACGCGGTCCACATAAGCCGCCTTCGGGCATGGAAGATGATTTGGGTATGCTGCTCTTTGGAGAAATCCGGCGACGGGGACCCAGGGGGGGCTGGCCCAAGAGGGGGGGGGCGGGCCGATTGATCGGCGACACCTCGCCGATCCATCGGCGACGGGCTCCACTAGAAAAGAAGTCATGAGGCGTCGTAGGTAGATATTAATCAGATCTTTTTGGTGTCCGTTCCATGGGAGCCTGCGTGGCCCCCGGCACTGTCCAATTTGGACCTGATTTGGACCAGATTTGGAACACATTTGGACCGGATTTGGACCAGACTTGGACTGGATTCGTGGGGGCTAGGAGAACGATGAGGGGGAGGGGGAACAGGAGGGGAGAGGAGGAGCAGGAGGATGGGCCAAATGTGGCCCCCACGCTGTCCACATGCAGGAAAAGCTGATTCCAGTGTTGCCACCCGAGGCTCCCATGAACAGACATCGAAGATCTTCTCCTCTACGCGATAGTAATCAGCAAGACGTGCCAAGACTAAATGAACAGATCCTGGCGTCGACGCCTTGAGCCCACTCCGGTTGCAGATGCGCTCGCCCCGTGCTCGCCCCGTCAACTGGCCCGGCGGAAGCCCCCTCTAAAGTCGGGAGGGGGGGAGAACGAAGTAACAAGGGATACGTCGACCCCTATCCCAGGCTTCGTGGGGTTTCCGAATAGACCAGAAATTTGGGGCCTAACCCTGGGATATACGATGGGGGGGTGCCCATCCTCGATAGGGGTGCGTCCGAATAGCCCCCTTGGGGTGTATCCCAGGGTTTTCCCATTCTTCTGAGCGGCCAGACTTTTTGGGCGAAACTCGGGGATTGGGGGAGAAACATCGCCTGCGACGAAGCGCATCGCAACGCCTCGGCCCACAGCTCGACTCCAGGTTTCAATCCGCAAAATCTAGCGTTAGCGGCGGGCCCGTCGACGCGGGAGGCGAGGGCTGTGATCCCGCCGAGAGCGGCTGTCAGCCGCTCCTCCTGCACCATAGGTGTGGTCCACTAGGGGGCACAGCTTGTGGCCGAGCATGCGAAGTCCGGCAAAACTTCAGCAGCTCGACAGCCGCTCGTATAAGATGAACGACCGCTGATCGGCAACTCGGCTCAGACAGCAGAATGCGCGAACGCTAGGCGATGCAAAAACTGCGCAGTGCGAGCCTGCGGCAGAGTACCGAGCAACAGGCTGCGCGGCCCACATCTGAGCCACAAAGGTATCTGAATGCCAGATGGCGGGCGACAGCTACTAAATGGAAGTAGCCGAGCTTGCATGGAAGCCGGTAACCAGGCGCCCGCTGCCAAGCACGTGGACAAAAAAACGCGTGGCCCGCGGCCCCACCAGAAGACAGGCTCAGTTCTGCGCGCGTCTTGCACTGCTACGATGCGGCACATTTCTCTTCACATCATGCTTAACTGACTGATGTCCTGGCATCACTTGTAACAACAAGTCAGGATCACTGCGGCCCTTACTCTGTCAGCCGAATGTCATGTTACTCGTATAACACGCATGAACGCAATGTACAATGTGTATCTCCATCACTTGCGCATCCAACGACCATGTCCAAGTAGGGCAAATGCTGTGGGTACATCTTGGACCTAAGTCCTGAAGGGCACGTTGCCCGCAGGGTCCCAGTGAGGACATCCAGTGGATGTGGCGTCGCCTGCACCACGCTACATGTAGCCTACAGCAAGCCCCAGCATTCCCCATATGATGTCACGCATGGGAATATTGAAATAGTGGCCGAAGGAATATGGTTCGTTTGGTAGTTTTGTTTTCCGTGGGAAGTGGTCGCCTGTCACACATTGTAGGGGTCCTGGCTGCAGGCTTCCAGGCTTATCGTAGTTATATGAGCGTGACTGAATAACTCGGCGTAACTGAGCCCGTTGCCAGGCTGAGTGCACGCGTAGCGCAGAACGTAGTGACGTAGAGCCGTGCTGGATATGCCTACGATCGAAGTAGTTATGTGGTTCGTGGTGGAAATCGGCGTGATTGTACTAGTAAACCCATTACTGGAGTCCAGTTCACTGCCGAGCACCAGCCCGTTGCCGGGCTGTCCACGCCAGCCTCCTCGCTCTTTTCCCCGAAGGGATGTCGGCGCATGGTAGTCCAAATCGGCCATTGATATCGTACCGTGCTAACTTGCAAAAAAAAGAGCCAGTCACACATGTGCGTAACCAGCTCCGCTGCCAAGTAGAGAAGAAACGATGAGGCGTTGTAGAAATAGGTAAGATCATATCTTCTACGCGAAAGTAATCAGTATGACCTCTCAAGACGAAGTAGCTATATCCTAGTGACGACCCCATTGAGCCCAAAGGGGTTGCAGATACGCTCGCCCAATGTTCGCTCTATCAGCTAGCTTGGCGGAAACTCCCATTATAAAAGGCCCCTGGTAGCGAAACCGCGCGTTCCGGCGATGATTGGGCGATTGACAGTCGCGCTCCCCATGAGCCAACCGCCCGTGTGGAACCCTGGGAGGCTCAGTGGCCTCCGGCGGCTGCTCAGGACGATCTGGACACCCCCGGAACACTCGTGGCGAGGCGCACCTGCCGGTAAGCTTCCCGGGGCTGAAAAACCTTCTGGAACACACGAAGAACATTCGAAAACCCTCGGCGCGGGGCTCTCCCCCCTGAGCCAGCCCCCCCTGCCGTTGCGCTTGAGAGTTCTGGAGGGATCCGTATGGTCCAGTTGAAGAAGGTGTATTCAGAGAAGGTCTGATTTCCATCAAAACCATCATAACAAAGCCAGGAGCACGACCACTATGTCCAACGACACCCTATATTGGGCGAATGGCGACGTTCCCGCGGAAGACGCGGCGCACCGCGCCAGACGCCACGGCCGCCCGCGCGCGCGGGCCTTGTCCGTCGCCGTCCTCGGGCCCTTGGCGGCCTGCTCGGCCCGGGACCTCTTGTTGAGGACGGAAGCCTCCGGCTGGCTCGGGGGGCAGCTCGCCGTCGCCCTGGCCGCCACCGCCGCCGGCGTCGCTGTCGCCGCAGCTGGCCCGGGGGGCAGCTCGCCGTCGACGTCGCCGCCGCCCTTTTCGACTCTTTGAGAGGACGGCTCGGCCAGATCGGAGAGCTGCTCGCCGCCGCCGCACCCGACGTCGCCGCCGTCGCCGTCGCCGCCGCCGCCCTCGGGCAGCGAGGATCGAGTCATTTGATCGTTCTGGCCTGCCACGTGGGGGGCTCCAGAGAGAAGAGCCTCAGGCCTGGCCTCAGGGGGGGAGGCTGGCTCAGGGGAAGGCCATGATCTGCAGTGGG